TCCACGCCAAATCGGATGGTTCGAAAAATTTTAATTTTCGATTTCCTTAATTTTTTGATATTTTTTAGTACCCCGCAAAAAATCCTTTCTGGCAAATTGTGAGAATTTTTTGATTACTTGTTCAAAAGATATAAAATTTTCAAAAAACGCCTTTTTTTTNCAAACTTGCGTAAATGAAAAATGTCGCAAAAAAGTTACAAGGTGTTAAAGTTTATTTTTTTATTTCTTTTTTGTCCTTAACTCAGAACCAGTCAACTGATTTGAGCAAAATTTTCTGTTGATTAGTTTCTCTTCATGAAGTATGCGGTGATTCTGTTCCTATTTGGTTAAATCATTGGTGTTCATTTTACTACAATCTTTGTGTATATTCTTCTACACCTTTTTTGTCAGTTTAAATTTTTACACGCAACTATTAGAAATAGGTAGAGAATTTTATTCTACACAAAAAATGTATACCTTTCAAAAGTTATGCTCGTTTATGAAAATATTACAGAAAATGTTTATTACTACTACGTATCCATATACATATACCAGGGCGAATCTGTCGAAATACCCCACTTCTTGGATGTATGAGGGGCAAACTAATTTTTGCTGAAATACCTTCATTACAACTCATAATAAAAGCGTAGATTCCTAGATCTGGGCGAGGTCCGGAATATTTTCAAAATTGCAAAAATGTTTAAAAAAATACCTATTTTATATGAGTTTTTTACTTATATCTTGGAACCTATGCATTTTGGAAGAATATTGAAGAGGAAAAAAGTTTTAGAATTGAATTTTCCACAATACAAGTTAAAAATGTTTAAATTTATTACCGATATTGCAAAATAGCAATAATTGATGAAAAAAAGGCAAAATAATCAGGTTTTTTGGATATTTTTTTAAAATATTTTAGTTACTCCGAGGGCATTCTAATTTTGGTAAATAAACTTTAGAGTAGGTATAATAAAACACACACCAAATTTCATTAAAATCGGTTAGATCGTTTTCGCAAAATAATTTTTTTAAAAAAAAATTTTCGAATTTTCAAAATGTTGCACAGCCTCAAATAAAGAATCTAGATACTTGAAAATTTTTTGGTCGTCAAGAAAGACAGTTCTGCTATTTGCAGAAAAAAATAAAATCTGCAGAAATACTCAAAAATTACGTGTTTTTTCTGACATTTTCGAATATAACTTTTTTAATATGCAGTTTACAGAAAAAACTATTACTGATTAAATTATTTGTTATAAAATTTGCTACAAGAGCGTAAGAAAGTGATGAAAATCGAGGTAATTTTAAAGCGTTCAACTGACTGGCAAGAAATTGTCCAGTTCTACTATAAATGTAGATGTAAGTGCTTTAAAGGATTACAAAACCATATCCCAAACCCCGATCCAAATCGGTCTGACAGTTTTGGTATGAGACAATTTGTTACTAAATTGCAGCGCGAAATGTCGTTATTTCTTTGCGTCAGAGATGGGGTTAAAGTTAGGCATTTTAATTGACACTGATTTTTTTACACATACTTGGACCCTTGATACAGAATCCTTATAATATTAATTTTCTTTTTTTTAATAATTTTTTGAGCGAATTTAAAAATTCGAAAAATTTTAACTTTATAAACAAATACTTTCGTGAAGCTGTTTTGCGAGTTGGGATATATACCAAAATACCAAAAAATAGTTATCGGAAAGACGCTTAACTTGAAAAAAAGAACGTTCAAATCGGTCATATCGAGTATCAAAGTCAACAAGCGCTTGCTGCAAAACTATGCATAATGTAACAAAAATTGAATTTGGCAGGTTTTTTCAAGAACTTTCCGTATGTGTTTTTATAAATCTGATCGCACGTGTGCTTTTTTATGAAAATCCGAGTTCAAAAAGAGCGCGCGCGCTTCGGCGTTCAATATCTCGACTCTTCTATGGCTCCGATTTTGATGATTTTTTTTAAATCGATATAGCAATTCAATTATCAAGATTTCATTAAAATATTATAAAGCCCTTTTCGGTATATTACGACTACTTAAAATTTCTCACATTTCATTGTTTACTGTATATTCATGTAAATAATAATATCGATGGTAGGATATAGGCACATAATCCACTGTTAATAGGTATTAATTTTAATAATTACGTGGTAATAATGTTTAAACAAAATCATGAAATTTTTATTTAATACGTAATTTATCTATTGTATACATATAATACAGAAAAAAATATAGATATAAATAATTATTTACTTATGTTTATAAAACGTGTTTATTATATTTCATTTTTTTTACAACATCATTGCTGTTTTCACTTATAATACCAGCATTTGAATAAGTATCGTTTTCCATTATTTGCAAATCAGTGTTTAACTAATTGTTAGTAGGTACCACTGTCAGATTAACAGCAAATTATGACTTATGGCTGGTTAATTTGATCTTTTTGCTAGCAATTTCATAACCATCCTCGCAAAGAAATTGGATCATTTTATTTATCATAAAAACCGTCAAAAACAGAAAAATTAAAAGATATGTATAAGGAGGTGTAATATTGAAAGATATGGAGTAAATTTCTACAACAGATTTTGATTAAATATACAGGGTGTCCCATTTAGAAAAACCAAGTTTTGGCGGTTCAATCAAATTCGACAATAAATATAAAATTGAATTAGGTCGAAGACCATTAGACCATTAGAGTAGAGATAGATCTAGGGAAGCCTTATAAAAGTCCCCTAAAATTGCGCTAAGAATATTCACAAAGGGTTGCAGTAAAATGAACGCCCTGTACGATTTAACCAAATAGGAACATAATCATTACACACTTCATGAAGAGAAAGTAACCAACAGCAAATTTTGCTCAAATCGGTTAACTGGGTTTTGTGTTAAGGAGAAAACAAGAAATAAAAAAGAAACGCTTAAATCGACACCATTTAGGTTCTAGACCAGATTATATCCTTGAAGTATGTAACATTCGTTAGGTGACACCCTGTATAATCTCTGACTATTCTGATACAAATGTTATTTGCAAACCGTGAGTTTGTCATAAATATGTGTTTGCAAGTAGTGATTATATGAATAATAATGCTCATGTTTTCCCAACAACGTTTTTGTAGTCTCTCTGATGCAAATCCGCAGGCAATGAAAAGTTTACAAATCAAAAAAATTTGTTTTTTATCAAAATTATTTCTTGCGTGAAGTTTGGGACACCCTCTACATACAAATATAAATCAAATTGTCAGTCGCAGCCAAATCTTTCAAACCATAATAAAACCTAAACGTCAGTTCATAGAAATTCACTCAGTTCGCATTTTTTTGGGGAATCCCATATGAAAAATATTTTAAGCGAAGTACATTATAATAATTATCGCCTTGACCAACTACATATCCTCACGATTTTCGGCCTGCCATCAGCTATAATTGTCTTGTAACGCATGATAATCGTTAGATAATCACTAGAATTCACACCGGTTTAGCTTTCGTTAAATAGCGCGTTTAGTTCCGTCAAATTAAATATTTTTTGCGAAGTGAGTACATTCTTGGAGTGCCAACGGTCGTAAAGTACACTACCAGTAACACTCTAATTAAAACGTAAAACGTACTACAGCTTTATCCTTAAAATTTAGTTTTCTAGATATTTTGAATGAAGCACAACCAGATATGTAAATTTTTTTCTTCTATTTGGTACTCATTTAAATACATATTCCGTTTCCAGTATATGTGGAAAGTTGTCGCTCTCGGTATTTTTGGGAATGTCCCAATCAAGATCAGATTCATTGCAGCAGTTTTCAGTATGTTTTTGGATTTCAGAAAGTGAAAATTTATTTCCTGAAGCCTTTCCAAATATATGTTTAAGTCTAATTTTTTTTCTCGGAAGTTTTTCTCGGAACAGGTACTTTTTTAGATAAATATTCGGGTAAATTTGGAAAAATAGATGGAACTGCATCAGCTTTAAGTTTAGTTTTTGTTGGAATTTTTTAACAGTTCCGCCTGGTAAATCAAAAATATCCTCCCTAATAATGTCATTTTCTGAAAAGTGAATGCTGCAAACTACAGAATATTGAGAAGGACACCAGTTGTCTCGGGGAATAGCTTTCAACCATTTATCTTTTAAAATTACATCTTTTGGGAAACCAAAGGTAGATACCATAGATCCCCAGCTTTTAAAGCGCTATTATAATTGAATTTACATCCAGGGATACAGCAGGTTTTTGGCATTATGTAATAAGTATAAAAACTTACCATTTTACAAGTAAACACAACAAAATTGGCCCCAAAGGACAAATACCTAACCTATTTTGTCACACTACAGAAGCAGTACCGGTACCTACTTATAACGATGTAGAATTAAACAACTAAGAAAAAACACAATATTGTACCGTAAAATAATCCACTGTAACTTAAAACTAAAGCAAAAAGAGCGCCAAAGTAACACCCCCGCACAACAAAATCACCACTAGGTTCTTACCACTTGATCACTAGTTTACAGGCGATATAACTCTACAGCTCTTCTTGAATTTTTTTGTGACTCGCCGTAAATTAGCAACATATCAACTTTTTTTGAATGAGGAAATATCCAAATTATTTGTATCCTCACAGTAGACCCACACTATCGAGTTTGAGACACCATGTACAACCAATGAAATTATTTTGCTAATTTGTACTATAAATAATTTTGTGCAGAGTGTATTAGCTATAATCATTTAAAATAGGTGTGTTGGTGATAAAAATTCTAATATTTTATGCAACTTTGCGTAAACATTTAACTGGTACGAATTCCAGTTTTGTTAGGAAGGTTGTTAATTGTTTCTAATAGAAAATTATTCTACGCAGTTCCTGGTTATAAAAAAATTGATATAAAATCAAATGAAGGTTTCTAGATTTTATTACAGTTTTAATTTAATTTTGTTTTATTACTTTCAGTAATCAAATAGCTAAAAATAGTCCAGTGTAGATTGGAATTATAGATAAAGTTTGACGAATTCATTATCTTCAACTTAATCATCAAAAATTCAAATCTTCGTTTTGTTTTCAGGCGAAGAAAACCCAAAAGACAACAATAATGAAAAATATAAACCCAATAAGGAGAGCAGAAATGTTCACTACATTAATTTTGGAGAAGATGATCAGATGGTAATGCCCCAAATACAAAAAAAGTCAGAGAAAAGGCAGATTTAACAATTATTATTTTTTTTTTTAAGGAAATACAAGGGTTCCTTTGCAATAAGATGAAACTGTACTTCACGCGCCTGTTCTACGTGCTCACTCTTGGAATTTTGAGATTAATTTTTCACTGGTACCCCGTTCTTAAGATAAAAGCAACGCACACTAGATGCGACCTGGACACCGCGGAAGAAGTGCTGATAATAGTAAGTACGAACTCCGCAAACTTCCCACAAACCTTCAAACGTATGCGAAAACATTTCAGAACACTTACAAGAAATTCAAATCCTATTTCGTCAAAAAGGTGGAGGTACTAGAGGCTCTATCTAGTGACAAGCAAGACAATGGACACGAAACAAGTGACTGTCTGTTAGAGTTCAATCTCAACGATGGAAGAAAGAAGAGTAAGTGACCATAGCAGAAAAAGTGCTTTTTGATATGTTCTCTCTTTTGTAGGGCTCTACCAAGCTCGTACTATTAAATGCATGAAACTGACGTACATTTGGGACGATGAAAAACGTAATTTCATCAAGCTGGCTGGTTTCGACAAAGGGATAACAAGAGAAGAACTCCACGGCTTCTCAGGGCAGAGCCAAGCAAAGCAGGTTTTCAAGTAAGCGCAATAGGCGAGCGGTTCACCCCTAAAAAGATGCTTCTAAATGAAGGTAACCGACTAAATTTTTAAAACAAAAACCTACAGCATGAAACTTTTTAATTTATAAAGTGTATTTTTCTGATAATTTACATATTTTTTAAATATTTTTCGGCGTGGTCAGTCAAGTGTTATAAATATAAAAAAGTTGTAAAAAAAATACTCGCCGAATGGCTTTGAAAATAGTTTTTTATTGTAAAATGGACCAAAATTAACACTTTTTGTCCTTCGACAAAAATTCTAAAAATGCTTCGTTTCTGAGATATTTACAATTTAATGTGAAAAAAGTGACGAAATCGACAAACTTTCGGAATTTTATTCTCAAAAACTACTGAACAGAGTTTAATTCTAAAAAAAGCATAATAATCGGCAGATCTTCTACTTTAAGATATATTTTTTTGGTATAGGTCAATTATTTTATTGAAGGTAAAAAAAAACAGTATTTAAAAGAAAGTCATGATAAACATACGCATCAAAATGGCGGCGTCAGTGGCGCGAAAATTCAAATTTTCTTTTTACAGTATCTTGGACTAGATTATATTTACAGTAAACATAATGTTATTAGGACATTTTTAATCGATATATAACAATAGCTGTGATACGACATGTTCGATATATTGGAAAAAAGACTGCTTTAAAGGCTCTAAATAAACTTGCAAATGATGAATTAAAAATATTTGCTAATTTAGAATGTTTAACTTTAGAAGATGCGCTTGAAATTTTGACGTTATATTTTTCAAAAATTTATGATTCTCAAAATAAATGGAAAGATTGCTCGAAATCTATAAATAAAGTAAAACAAACAATTGCTTTAAAAAAATGATGCAAACGATAGGTTCCCACCTTCGTACCCAACATTATTGCAACATTATTTGAGGTCAAAATGGCAAATAAGGCTACAAATAGTGAAATTGTAACTCTAGATGGATGGAAAATCGAAAATGATTGTTTGAATTTTAATTATTTTGAAGGAGAAACTGCGTTAGATATGCTTCAAAAATATTTTTGTTCATGTAGTGGAAAATGTTCTACAGAAAATTCTAACTGTTTGTCATCGAATCGGGAATACTGTGCAGTCTGTGCATGCTCAGATGAATGTAAGAATGTTCCATCCGAAACTGATGATGAAACGCTTATTTCAACTCAAGAACTTGTCGAAAATAACGAAAGAAATTAATATACTTTTAATATTTTTGTAAAATAAAAATAAAATAATTATCCTATACAATAAATTATCCAACAACTTTTTTATTTTTCGAGACCGCTAGGTCAATTATTATTATTAGGTTAATTTTACGATTTAAATAGTTTATTTAGTTTAGTTTTGGTATAACTTTCAAGTCAATTTTAGCCATTTATAAAACTAAAAATCGAATATTTAAATTTAACTAATTACTTGCAAAAATCTTACTCCGGCTACAAAACCAAACAAAATGATCTTTTGAACATTTGTCCTGTTAACATATATCGATTAAAATAAATCATAATAATGTTTATTGTAAATTTTATACTATCTAATCCGAGATATTGTAAAAAGGAAATTTAAATTTGAAGTATCATAATTTTCTTTAAAAGACTTTTTTTACTCGCTTTAGACCTTCAATAGAATGATTGATCCATACCAAAAAAATATATCTTAAAGTAGAAAATCCGCCGATTATTATGCTTTTTTATAATTAAAATCTGTTCAGTAGTTTTTGAGAAAAAATTCTGAAAGTTTGTCGATTTCGTCACTTTTTTCACATTAAATTGTAAATATCTCGGAAACGAAGAATTTTTCCAATTTTTGTCAAAGAACAAAAAGTGTTTATTTTGGTCCATTTTATATGAAAAACTGTTTTCAAAGCCATTCGGAAGTAATTTTTTTTACAACATTTTTGTTTATAACAATTGCCTGACCACGCCGAAAAATATAAAAAAATATATGTAAATTATCAGAAAAATACACTACAAAATAAAAAAAGTTTCATACTGTAGGTTTTTGTTTTAAAAATTTAGTCGGTTCATGTTTTTCTTTTAGGGGTGAACCGCTCGCCTTAAATATAAATAAATTTAAGGTCCTCGTAATTTTGCATACGTACCTCGCAAATACAAAATTTGCTCGTCACAAAAATAACACTTTTAATCCTAATATAACAATATACCTACCTACTATTATGTGAATGTGTTACTTTGACAGACATGTGTTTTTCCAGGAGGATCATCTACGGAAACAACGAGATTTCTGTCCCAGTCCAAACAGTATTAACCCTCCTAGTCCTCGAAGCCCTCACGCCATTTTACGTGTTTCAATTGTTCAGTTTAATAGTTTGGCTGTGTGAGCTGTACCTTTACTACACCATAGCCATTATCATAATGTCGGTGGTGGGTATCACCACTTCGATTATCCAAACTAGAAAGGTACGTAACCAACACATCAGCAACTGACGATTACAAACTGTAGATACTATTTATTTCCACTTTTTTTTAGAACCAAAAGAACTTAAAAGGCACTGTCCACTCTGCGGACAAAGTTATTGTCTCCCGGGGCAACAACAGCTTCGAGCAAATACCCACCACAGATTTGGTACCTGGGGACGTAATACTGATCCCATCGAATGGTTGCGAGATGCAGTGTGACGCAGTGTTGACATCAGGCACCTGTATAGTCAACGAGAGCATGCTGACAGGTAAAACGAACCTTGTACGCCTTTAAGGTGACCAGACCTGAGCCCTATTGGTATTATTTCTAGGCGAGTCTGTACCTATAACCAAAAATCCCCTGCCGAACAACCCCAGACAGTATAAGGTCAAGGAAGACGTGAGCCACACGTTGTTCTGCGGGACGAAGATCATACAAACCAGAACGAAAGGTATTAGGTCTGGCCGACGTGGCGGCCGTTCGCTAATTCTGCGTTTTTCGTAGGTGACGAGAAAGTATTGGCAGTCGTGATAAGAACTGGTTATTTAACAGCCAAAGGCGAACTAGTCAGGAGTATTCTGTACCCCCCACCAGCCGATTTCAAGTTTGAAAGCGACAGTTACAAGTTTATTGGAATCCTCGGCCTTATAGCGGTGTTAGGGGTCATATACACCATCGTTTCCAAGGTATATGTATATATGCACCATTAGATCGTTCCTATACGTTTTATTTCAGAGCACAAGAAACATTAACCCCTTTGACATAATCATCAAGTCCTTAGACTTGATAACGATAGCAGTTCCCCCCGCCCTACCCGCCGCCATGACGGTTGGGAAACTGTACGCCTTAAACAGGCTGAAAAACAACAAAATATTCTGCATCAACTCTAGGGTGATCAACGTATCCGGTTCTGTGGACTGCATCTGTTTCGACAAGGTAAAACAATGTTCATACTGCACACAAGACTCATTATTCGCATTTATTGCAAATTTTAGACTGGTACTCTCACAGAAGACGAATTGGATATGTGGGGAGTCGTACCTGTAGAAGACCATAAGATCAAGAACGCAGTTAAAGACGCGAAGGTTTTGTCCAATACCTCTCACATCATCAGGGGGATGGCGACCTGTCATTCCCTCAACCTCATAAATAGTGAAGTGTGTGGAGATCCCTTAGACGTTAAGGTTTGGTGCTTGTAGCTTCAAATTAAATAAAAAATAAAGCAATTTCAACTTTTAGATGTTTGAAAGCATAGGGTGGTCACTAGAAGACATATACGAGTCAAGCAAAGGCAACAGTGACATCCACCACCACATCGTAGTTAAACCATCTTCCATAGAGGTAAAGCTGCTGCAAAGCTATCACTTTGTGTTAAATTCCACTTGTTTCAGGACAAATTCGAGATAGGAATAGCAAGACAGTTCCAGTTCTCCTCTCACCTACAAAGAATGAGTGTGGTAACGAAACCTTCAAACACAGACACTTACCACGTCTACTGCAAAGGTTCCCCCGAAATGATAACCTCACTCTCAAACTCCTCTGTGCCCGAAGACATCCTAACTAGACTCAAAGAGTACACCACGCAAGGATACAGGGTCATAGCTTTGGGGGAAAAAGACCTGGGTGGTCTAACCCAAGAGGAAGTTGCCAAGTTGCACAGGGAAGATGTAGAGTGTGACTTGAACTTCATCGGACTGATTGTATTGGAGAACAAACTGAAGCCGCAGACTACGGGTGTTATCAAGACGTTGAAAGAGGCCAATTTGAAGGTTGTCATGATTACAGGTGAGTTAGTTTCTAAATGTGTCTGGTAGCTTCCAATTGTGGGGGTTGCAGGTGACAACATACAAACTGGAGTACACGTCGCCAAAGAATGTCAGATGGTGGATCCTGACCAAGCAATCGTTGAGGTGATTGTCGACGAAGCCACCAAGTATGAAGCAACTAAGCTGAAGTATCAAGTGATTAGTGAAGGTGCAGCTCTTGTAAGCACAGAAGTGATATAAAGTAAATGAAGTAGTTAACATTATCTTTGGTTTTTAGGAGAAGAGTATCAGTTATAGTGGCAACTGTTTGGATATTGAAAAGAGTCAAAGCAAACATTACTGTTTCGCCATCACAGGTAACTCTTGGGCTAACCTGGTGGATTATTTCCCAGAGTTAGTACCTAAGGTGGTAGCCAAAGGGGTGGTTTTCGCCAGGATGTCTGGCCTCCAGAAGCAACAGCTTATTGAGGAGTTCAAGAACTTGGGTTATTACGTAGGTCAGTATAGATTTATGCGAACCAAAGACTGATTCTTCTAAAAAAAACATTTTTTTCTTTTCCAGCCATGTGTGGTGACGGCGCCAACGACTGCGGGGCGCTTAGGGCAGCCCACGTAGGCATATCTTTGTCAGAGGCCGAGTCCAGCGTGGCTTCGCCCTTCACCTCCAAAGAACCCAACATTTCCTGCCTTCCCAAGGTCATCAAAGAAGGCCGCGCGGCCCTGGTCACCTCATTTGGGGTGTTCAAGCTCATGTTGTGCTACAGCCTCACGGAATTCGCTTCTGTCATGATTTTGTACAACATCGACGCCAATCTCACATCTATGCAGTTCCTCTTCATCGATATCTGCCTCATATTGAACTTCGCGAGTTTCTTCGGAATCACTAAAGCCTATGAGACTCTGGACAAAGTCCCACCTATGACCTCGCTCATGAGTTTCATCCCCATCTCTTCCATGGTTCTCTTTATGCTCCTAACGGCGGGTTTCCAGATTTTCTCGTACTATTACATCCAGAGCTTCTCGTGGTTCTATCCCTTCCAGTTTAACGGAGATGACGACAAAAACTTCCTGTCCTATGAAAATTACGCTGTCTACTCAGTGTCTATGTTCCAATACATCACAATGGCTGTAGTCTTTTCCAAGGGCAAGCCCTACAGGAAGCCGTTATACACGAACATCCCCTTTACCTTCTCCCTGGTCGTAATGACCTTAATTTGCGTTTATATAGCTTTATATCCAGCCGAGTGGGTTAAAAATATCTTGGAACTGCTGATGCCTCCCGCTTTTGATGGGCGGTACACAATTCTATGGATAGCCTTGATTTGCTTCTTGTGCTGTATCCTAGCCGAAGACTTCGTGGTAGAATTTCTCCTTGGTAAGGTCCTGTCTCCGAAATTGAAGACTTTACAGAGATCCAAAAGGAAATTCTTGGGGATATTGAAGGATATGGAGCAGGAACCAACCTGGCCCAGATTGGAAGACAAAACCGCGATATTGTCCCACGTTTGCGAGGGAAAAGCCAACGGTTTGGTCAACAACGGTTTCGTTGGATCGCAGAATACGCTGGTTACAAAGTTTTAGTCATGATTAGATTTTACAGGACTTATTTTTATTTATATTAACTGTGTAACTGTACATAATAGACTTAGGTGATGTACTTGGTACAAATGAATTAAATAAAGTTAAAAGAACAAGTGGAAAATAAATTAACAGTTTGTACATGTTTCCTTTAATCTACAACAAACACGGATAACAATACTGACGGAAAAGGTTTCATTGAATCCTCTCTTCAAGATATCTTATCTAATATCACTCGTTTCGACATTTCCACAACCCAAAAATACTCCTTTTCTAATGCATTATAACACTTTCCTCTAATACACTGTAACATTTTCCTTAAAATTTCTTTCCTGTTCTTCTATGTCAGTTTTGTTCGTCTTATTCCCAAAGTACTCCAAAATCTCTTCCTGGGTCTTTCCTCTGGTCTCGGGCAGCAAACATATTAAGAAAACAGTACCAACCAAGGATGTGCAACCGTAGAAAAAGAACACACCCGTACTGCGCATACTGTCAACCATAGTGGGGTAAATCTTGACAGCCAGAAAGTTAAAGATGTACCCGCAACCCGTAAGCAGTCCCGATGCTGTTCCCCGTATCTTTGTGGGAAAATATTCGGCTGCCAGCGCGAAAGGTACGGGTAGAAACCCTAGGGTGCTCGTAAAAAAATAAAGCATCACCGCCAGCAGAGGTAGGAGCGTTAAGTTTGATCGAAGTGACTCCGAAATTCTCCCTTGGTCTATCAGCAGGTTGTAACAAGCTAGAGTAAACATGCACAGCATCATCCCAGTTCCCGAGACTATCGAAAGAGGTCTCCTACCGAACTTCTTGCTTAGAAATCCCACAAGAACGGCTGTCACCACTCGAGTCAGAGCCACCATTACTATAGTTATGTAAGGGTCTAAGATCACCCCAGCATTTCTTACTATGTCTATAGCGTAGAAAATTATCACGAAAGTTCCAGACAACTGCTGGAAGAAGAAGTACGTGAACACCAAGCCGAAGGGCTTCAGAGAATACGGTTTTAATAAATATTTCACTTTCCTCAACATCTGCTCCGGTATAGACTTCTTGGTAGTGTCCTTTTTGACTCCCTTCGCTTGTATCAAACCTTCTATCTCTGATTGGACGACGGGGTGGTACTCTTTGGTACCGAATATCATACACATGTTCTCCTTGGCCTCCTCCAGGCGGTTCTTCCCCACCAGCCAAGACGGGGTTTCGGGGATGAAAAACAAAACGAAGGTCATCCCTATGCAAGGAAAGAAGCAAGATATCAACGCCATAGTCCCCCAACGTTCCTAAAAGTAAAACAATTAGGTTTTACCAAACTTTGCACCCTCAGCAAACTTACCTTTAAGAAGTACCCCAACATGTACACGAGCAGGATCCCTAAAGAAAAGAAGATCGATCCCCAGGTGGTAAAGACGCCTCTGTACTTGGAACTGGAGACTTCGGCCATGTATATGATAGCTGGGGCGCTCGACAAACCTATGGAGAGCCCCGTGAGGAACCTGCCGAGCAGGAGAAGCAAGTACTGATTACTTCCGGCGGCGTAGGCGCTGTATATGGTCAACCAACCGATGAAGCAAGTTACGTTGATGCATAAAATGGAGATTCTTCTTCCGAATTTGTCCGCTATTGGTCCGGAGAGAAAGCAGCCGATTGGTGCGGCCAAAGACGCCATGCTAGCTGAGGAAATGTTAACAGTTTATTGGCTGTGAGGTACAGGGGCCCTGGAATACTACCCTGTGGCAGTACCGAGGTGTTTGCTCTTGTTTTCTTTCTACTTACCAAACCATGTGACTTGGTTTTGACTTAGAGTGGTTTTTAACGTTGGTATTGCTACAGCGGAGAATCCCAAGGTCATGCTGGGGCCAATACTTGAGAAATTTGTGAGAAATGCCAGGATTATCTGAAAAGTGCATAAAGTAAGTGATAAGGAACAATTGAAAAAATGTCGTGATGGCGTAAGGAAAATAATGGAATGCTTTTGATATCGGAGAAATAGATAAGACAAAAACGATTACAGTATAATTACTCAAACCCCAATCAGCTACTTAATTAAGATCATATCTGGTTTGTAATCAGTACATGCTTTTAAAAACTAAAGATAAAAAATTAGACGTCAATCGTTAATAATTGAATAGCATTCTAATATCAAAGAATTCGTTTAGGTTTTTATGTAAATTTGATAGCACAAGCACCTTTGTATTAAGCAACATATGACCCCGATAAGAAATTTTATTTAGTAAAAGATATCTGACATTTAGTTGGTATTTGCTAACAGTGACCTCAACATTGTCCACCAAAGTAATATTGAACATATATTACAGTTTAATATGTTCCTACTGTAATACGAAATTACGTAAAATAGCCGCTTTTTAAACACCATCCAAGATGAATCATTATTATAAATACACACAATTATTCATTAATTTATAAATAATTTATTTGTAATTACTTTTAACAATGGGTTTTTAGACACAGCAGCGATTATACAATCGGCACCAGTTGTTTTTGATGACGATACCAAAACGTTACGAAATTATTTTCGCTTTTCGTTGCACCACATGTGACTCGAGAAAGATAACTGATAATATTTGGAAATAATGAAATAATAAACAAAAAATAGGGTCCAATTTTAAAACTACATCTCAGTTTAGATAATTTTGTTTGGGACAAACAAATAAATGTGATATACAGGGTGTTTCGCATAGGAACCGACACAGAGCAGGGGCATGTAGGGAATTCCAAAATATGGTGATTTAACGGAACTTACCTAAAAAATTATTACTTTTTTTTGCGGGGAATTTCATTCTAAATATGTTTTTACTCTTGTTAGTTTTCAAAAAACTTTGTCGTTTTCAACGAAAATGCGAATAACTGATATAATAGTCCAGTCACTGAAAGCGAAAATAAAGTAAAAGCTCCCAATTTTTTTCGGATATCATGGATTTTCATGAAAATTTGCATACAAGCTCATCTGACCCTCCACTTCAAAAGTTATATTGTCTAGATGTCTGTTTTTTTCTATTTAGGGGTGAAAACTACCCTTGTACGAAAAAAATGCGAAAATTGCAGATTTACGTATTTTAAAGATTCAATTCATGTTCAAATATGTTGGATAAAGTTCCTTTCATGTTTTTTAATATAATTTATGAGATGATTTTTTTTTTAAATTTAAGCTTCTAAAATCGTTCAAATTCCCAGAATCTACTGTCAATACATAAATAAAGTAAATTGCAGAAGGAATAGGTTTAATTTTTTTTCCTTCGAGTCATTAATTTTAATACCATTTTTTTTTTTTCAAAAATCAAGACAATCATTTTATTTTGATTGTAACTTCGTTAGTTTTCATAATAAAAAAATTCCCACCCTCCAGAAGGGGTGGCATCCACCCCTAGGGTAAAAACACACATCGGCACTATATAACTTTTGTTCCTTGGGCTATTCCCTAGCTACAGTTCAAATTTCACGTCAATTCATTCGATCCGAAAAAATTGGTAGCCAAAATGTTTCAGTGACTGGACTAATAGTATGTATTGCAGCTGTGTTATTTAAAATCATCGAAAATTCAAAAGTTGGCTATGAATTTAAACGTTAAACTTGACGATCGGGAAAATAAGTCACTTAATTTTAGTATCTGTTTTGAAAATGGCCAGGAAATTTTCATTCAGCGAACAAGTTGACATGCTATTACTGTTAGGTTTCTGTGAAGGAAACTATAGAAGAAGTGTTAAAGAATATGGGAGAAGATTTTCTCCCACAAAGAAACATTTTCCAATGCTGAAAGATGGGCTCGAGAAACAGGCAAGTTTTCCGGTAACTATTAAGAACGTGCTGTTGCAATCAGGGCACAAGACGAAGAACTTATTTTGAACTCAATTGAAGATGACCCACATATTAACACTACATTTCTATTGCGACAAACTGGTATATGGCAAACTTCTGTACACCGAGTGATCAGATGTAACTACTACACCCATATCATATCTAAAAACTTCAAGAATAGTCCAGACGGTATCTGTTTCAAAAAGTCCATATTTGGGTGAATCGTATATCCACGGAGATTTTTGGCACTTTGGCTTTCAAATATCACTAGAAATGAAAATTTTTCTATGCGCATAAAAAAACGTGGGCTTAACTTTTGGCGGCACAATATGTTAAACAAATTCGAAAAATGTCATATTTTTCTTCCTATATAATTATGTATCTTTTCAAGAGTTGATTTTAGGCGAAAATGGAAGAGGAAAAAATGTTTGCAATTAAATTTTTTACAAAACATGTCTAGTTACAAATCGAATGAATCATGATTATTATGGTAAAAATCGAAATAATCACAAAAATGGGGTTAAAAAACAATACTTTTTAGGGATTTTTTTGGGGTATTTAAATTGGTTATAGGACCTTTATACTTGGCTCAAAAAAATTTCATGTTATGTAGAATTATCCCACCAAATTTCATCAAAATCGGTTCGATAGATTTTGCATAATAATTTTTCAGATTTTGAAAAAAAAATTGTAAATTTTCAAAATTTTGCACCGCAAAAACCAAGGCTCTTAGATACTTGAAAATTTAATCATATATAGAAGGGCTCTCAAGCTTTCAAACGCTTTTTGAAATATTCGAATCCGTCAATTAGGAGAGCTCTGGCGCTTGTTTAAACATTGGTCGAATTTTTGTAGGTACTTATAAACAATTAGAATAACTGTGCATATTCAATCAAATAAAAATTTTTTAAAGTTATTAAGTATGAATAAAATGTTTTTATAATTAATTTATTAATTTAATCATCATTACTTTTGTGATCTAATTGTAAGTATAATTCAAATAGGTATTATTTATTGTTTAAAATATAAGCAAATGAGAAATTAATTCATTATATTACTAATTTGTATAACCAGTAAAATTTCATTACAAAAATTTTTTTCCTCTTCCATTTTCGCCTAAAATCAACTCTTGAAAAGATTCGTGATTAAATAGGAATAGGAATATGACATTTTTCGAATTTTTTTAACATATTGTGCCGCCAAAAGTTAAGCCCACGTTTTTTTTATGAGCATAGAAAAATTTTCATTTCTAGTATTTTTTTTCCAAAAAACAGATTACGTATTCTCATTTAGCATCCCTTAGAACGTCTTACCACCAAGTTTCATCAAAATCGATACATCTTCAGGCGACAACTTCACGATGTCGCGAAATGTATCTTCATTATTTTTTTGGCCGATTAAAATTTTTTTTTATGAAATGTAGGGTAAAAAAACTATCTAACTGTGATACTGCTGTTTTTTATTAATGCAATACACGTCCAACTAGTGCTCGTCTGTAGATGTATCGAATTTGATGAAACTTGGTGATAAGACTTTTTAAGGGGTGCTGAATGAGAATACGTAATTTGTTTTTTTGGAAAAAACGTCGCTAATACCAATTAGCTGTTTTGACGTCAAAAAAACGCGTCCTAGTTAGCCATGAATTGAATTAATAAAAACAGCAGCATTACAGTTAGACAGAGTTTTTTATCCTACATTATAAAAAAAATGTTGAAATCGGTCAAAAAACAAACAAGCTACAGGCTTGTATCATATTTAAGCGCGACACCCTGTATAAACAAATTTTTGGTTTTTTGCACCAGTCGACATTTCAAAACTTCCAATACAATTTGAAAAATCTATTATTTTTCATTACAGGTTATGTTAATAATATATTTGGGTTTTCGGAAAAAAGTTTAAATTGTTTCCTCTTAAATAAACATATTTTTAATTTTTGGAATTTTGATTTTTAACTTTTAACTATTTAGGATACTTTCCCTGGTAACTTTTCTCCAATTCGACAACAATTACCGTTAATTTATGCGGCACTTTGAATAAACATGTATATTTTAAGCATTTCCGGTACAAATCAAATAAAAAAATATCCCTTCTTACCTGCTTACTAGTTGACCTTTTGAATGTATGTTCCATGGCTATTTTTTTCTTAAACTGGAGACTCACGGAATAAATTATCACAGGCGGGACCACATTTTTTTAAAAAATCACTTAAAATTAACCTGAGAATGCACTGTTAAGCACATTTAACGTAAAAATGCCCAACAAGCTCGTGAAAAAGATATCACAGTTCAAATTCTTGAACCGAGTATCGAACTGTTGGTGAAATTAGTGGCTGGTCGGAATCAAGGACTTGTTATATCGAAACTAAGGCTCATTATGAGTATTATTACGCGAAACCGCCAGCTTTTGCATGGCCACCTATTACACTTGAGGAAAAGATAAGATTGTTTACCACGTCGAAGATAATGGAGATTGATTAACGATTTGGTAATTTTAATAGATAAAAAGTAGTTAGCATACGAAAGTGAGACTCTTTTAGGTAAGTGGGTGCATTAAGATACATTGATAATTTTAAATCTTAAAAAGTAGGTTAAGTGTTCCTTTCACCAAGTTTACTGTTAAATCTCGACCTGAGCTTGCAACAATTTATGTCTATTTGGTATTGAATATAAAAGGTTTATTTGGTGGAACAAATGTCCAAGATGTAGTTTTGTTAGTGGCAGTACCTTGTAAAGTTGCCCTGGCTAATTAACAGGAGAGTCGACGTTCGCTCACATCCATTGATAACTCCGCCAATTCTTAAGGTGTGTAATTCAGTAGGAGATTATCTCAGGAAGTGTTGTACATCACAAAATGGTTTGAATACTTAATTCTCTTAAACTTTTTATCCCCATATATTCAAACGTGTTTGAGACTTTAAATTTTTTTTCTAGTGGTTGATTTAGTTAGGTCGGTGCCTCCAAGAAGTAATTATTTGTAATTGCTGATGACCTCTGGCATTATACAATAAGCCTTAATCTAAATAAATAAATCAAACAGAACAAAATGATAAAAATTTCATGTATATGCTTTAAATAGTTAAATAATAATTACAGTTTTTAGATGTTAAAGATGAGCTAGTACAACAACAGAATATTATGTTTCAAGACCCTGTAGATTGTGTAAAGTGTACAGAATTAATTTTAATTAGTAGTAGTATTAATAGTAAATTTTTATATCAAACACTTCGTTGAGACAGGTCCGTACATTTTGAACAAAATGTGGTGGTGCCCCGTCTTGTTGAGACCATATCCGTTGGTTAAATAAATCGGGATCCAAATTATGGGGGTATAGAACCGCTAAAGCAGAACCAATTCATGTTGAAGCATAGTCAGTCCGGTTACATTTTCACTTACCTACTATGCGAGCGATCACCAATAATTCCAACCCAGACTTTTTCTCAGCTTCTACAACAGAGAAATAGATGATTTTTTGTTAATCGGTAGAGGAAAGCAACATCTATTCGAATTTTACAATGTCCATTCAAAAAAATCTTTCAATTTAAATTTATATGCAAAATAAAGAATGATAAAGTAGATATATAACGTAATGTATAGAAAATCCAGGTACGAAAACTTTTATTAATATTTCGTAAAAATGGAAATAGACTTGTTAAAATAATAGGAAATTTACTACTTAAGGAAAGTAGAAAAATATAATAGCATTTTCTTGCATTATAAAGTCATATTTACTTTTATATCACGAATATGCTCCTGCAGCAATTGAAATCTCAAGAAATAACAAACACAAACTACTGTCAAGGTCGTTTTACAGCAAAATAATATGTTATTAAATTCGTTATCTGTTGTAGAAGCTGACAAAAAATTGATTGTAATTGCGTGAGTGAATTGTGTAGCTCCGCTCACATAGTCCCCCCACTCCTCGCAAATTTTCATAGTTATAAAGTCTTTGAGTCAAACAATCAAAATCACTTTTGATTGTTATTGTACAGGACGTTGTTTTGCCGTAAACTCACTTCAACTTTGAGCTTACATATCTCGATGACGATTCATCATATCCACAAAATCAAAAGTGGATTTTGATCGTCAATCCTTCCTCCATTTGATCCTATATTTGCATTTGAAGAATATACAAACAAGGTAGCTCTAGCTCTAAATGTTTAAAAGTATTTTTTCGAAGAAATTTTGAGAAAATTCTAATTGTTGCTAAAATGGATAAAATTAAAAATTTTTACTTGGGGATTGATAGTTGAGACTCCAAAGGATATTACGTATAAAAATTGGGAGCTCAAAATAATCATTGGCTTTACCGTGAGAGAGAATTGAAAAACAAGTATAATTCTGTATTTTCTTATAATTAACAATTGAATTGTACGAAATCTACCGGTCCGACTTCGATGAAAAAAATTTCTGCAGTAATACCATATCATGAAGTACTCAGAACCATACTTTTTATATGGCTGCTCTAAAGTCAAGGTCCGAAATAAATTAATGAAAAAAACATATTTGTTCACGAATTTTTCGGTCTATACTGTATTGCAGCAACAATAATGCACATAAAAATTTCGGACCACTGAAGAGAATCTCAAAACGAAACTTTTTTACCTGTGACTATTTTCTCTAACGTCAATATTCTCCGAGTTATACATGAAAGAAGGGAGAAAAGTGCGCCTTTTTAATTTTTTTTTACATTTTCTTGCGTTAACAATTATGCACAACTTTTTCAGCGGGCGCATATCGCAATTATCATTTTACATAATATTTAGAACTGTTTCCAACAAAAATTAGAGTTACTGTATAATACATCCATCCCGAAACAGCTACCAACTNTTGGCGAAATCAGAGGTATAAAAGCAGTCAGGTAAGGATCAACATATTTAACGAATGATTTTATTGTGTTTATTTACATAAAATACCTATTTATTTATGGAAATTTATAGTGCAGTTCGGGAGTCTTATGGAGATAATGCAATTGGCTATGTGGAATGTGGAACAAAACCACTTAAATTTTGTTGAATCCATTACAATCAGGAAATTAATAATAACAATCACAAATACCCTTAATTGATAGACTGCTGTCACTAGTGACACTTTTGTTTAAAAAACAGGAAACAGGGCAGCAGGGTTTGATGGACAATTTTGACATATTTTCTTCTTCTTCAAAATTATGCAATAGGATCGCTACTAGCTTCTTGTTCAATTGCCCCTTATGACGTCAGATTAGTTTTTAAGTAACGCAAAAATTAATAAATGATTTCTAACGTTAATTTGTCATATATTTAAAATTTGACTATACAGGCAGGTTCTTTGATATAAAATCTTTAACTCGACAACAATTTGTATATGATTTGCTTTTATAGTGGACAACCCTAATAGGGTGTAGCTCCGCTCACATAGTCCCCCCACTCCTCGCAAATTTTCATAATTATAAAGTCTTTGAGTCAAACAATCAAAATCACTTTTGATTGTCATTGTACAGGACATTGTTTTGCCGTAAACTCACTTCAACTTTGAGCTTACATATCTCGATGACGATTCATCATATCCACTAAATCAAAAGTGGATTTTGATCGTCAATCCTTCCTCCATTTGATCCTATAATTACATTTGAAGAATATATAAACACGGTAGCTCCAGCTCTAAATGTTTATAAGTATTTTTTCGAAGAAATTTTGAAAAGATTCTAATTGTCGCTAAAATGGATAAAATTGAAAATTTTTACTTGGGGATTGATAGTTGAGACTCCAAAGGATATTACGTATAAAAATTGGGAGCTCAAAATAATCATTGGCTTCACCGTGAGAGAGATTTGAAAAATAAGTATAATTCTGTATTTTCTTATAATTAACAATTGAATTGTACGAAATCTACCGGTCCGACTACGATGAAATAATTTCTGCAATACTACTATATCATGAAGTATTCAGAACCATACTTTTTATATGGCTGTTCTAAAATCAAGGTCCGAAATAAATTCATGAAAAAAACATCTTTTTTCACGAATTTTTTTTCGGTCTACACTGTATTGCAGCACAATAATGCACATACAAATTTGAAACCACTTTTATTTTGAAGAGAATCTCAAAACGAAACTTTTTTTCCTTTGACTATTATCTCTAATGTCAGTATTCTCCGAGTTATACATGAAAGAAGGGAGAAAGGTGCGCCTTTTTAATTTTTTTTTACATTTTGCGTTAACAATTATGCACAACTTTTTCAGCGGGCGCATATCGCAATTATCATTTTACATAATATTTAGAACTGTTTCCAACAAAAATTAGAGTTACTGTATAATACATCCATCCCGAAACAGCTACCAACTGGACTACAAGTACTAACAAATCAATTACATTCAGTTCAAATTGGCCACAGCGCTATCGAGCAGGTGATAAGTTATGGAATTGTTATTGTGGCTTATCAAGCAGGAAAAAATGTATACTCGTACAGTAGTTTCAGTAAACATTTCCATATGCAATTGAAAAAGTTTTAAAATAAAAAATTAATCAACCTACCTCTTCCATTTAAAAAAAGTTGGGGGGTTGTTGGACACTCCACATAATTAAAAAAATGAACAAACCTCTTTGTAATATGCCCCATTGAAAATAAAAATTGACGTGTTTCAAGAATTTTGCTACAAGCTTTTATTTATTAAGTTACAGAATTTGTTCCAGTAAAACTTGCAACTCTGTATAGTGTTGTATTTTAAGAATTTGAGGAAATAATGACACCCATTCAATGTTAAATGAATTCAATACAACTAGAGATGTTTAAAATGTGAGTTTTCAATCAACAAGTGGAGGACGACTAATAGTTTTACTTTTTTTCAACGAATAAAAAACAATATAGTCAATAAAGATTCCTTTGCATTCTATTTCTTATATATTTAGTCTGTTATAACTCGTTTCAACATTTGTACAAGGTAATATACGGCGTTACTTTTCCCAAACAATACCGATTTGCTCCAAAATTTGGATTTAGATTCTACTTACCCTCTATTTCAAAGTTGACCATGTGCCGGGGGTTGCTTTTTATTTTTTAAAGGTGAAAACTACCCCTATTCGAAAATAATTGTAGAATTGTAGATTCGAGCGTGTAATAGGTTGAAATCATGTGTAATTATGATGAATTGAAAATTGTCAATACCTGAAAACCAACCCCTATGACATTAATCATTAAAAAATAATGTTGAAAAACATTATTCAGCAAATTCGATTAATTTAATCATATAGTACCACTAAATTAAGATTTCTTTACTGTTTTAATTTTTAATTATTTATTTATAAGTTTCAACCCTTATAGAAACCACCCCTTGCAAAAAAATATCGAACAATTATAGTTAAAAAAAATTTTTTAGTTCAAAATATAATACAATCTTTTTTTATTTAAAATGTAATGTATTTATTTTATCAAACCTTAAAAAAAACAATACGAATGCGTTACTGATTAAAATTTGTAATCAAAAATAGGGAAAATAAGAATTTAATTTTTTTATGTAAATACGTTTGTGCCTAAAATATAGCCATAATGTGTATTCAGCAGTGCTTCAATATACGTGTTCTGATATTTGCAAAAATATGTTATTGGTTTTTTACCCATAACTCGCTTAGTTTTTATGCTTTCAAGCCCTTCAAAAAAACATTTTATAGGTTATTTCAAGGGCTATAAGACCAAATAAGTTAAATTTTCTTTAAGCCCTTATTTTTGTAAGCGTTTGAGCTGAAAGGGCTAGAACAAGTTGCTATTTACGAACATATGCAAACTTTAAATGGCTATATCTTACTTAATTTTTATCCTACAGAAAAAAACAAAATTTTCAAACGAGCAAAACCTACAATTTTGTACTCTACAAAATTTTGCGTACTTACCATTAATAGTTTCTGAGTTATTTTGAAGAAAAGACAATTTTTTCCAAAAATACAAAAATTCTCTTTTCACTTCAAGCTCAACCTTTTTCAAAACTAAGCACTTTAAACCGGTCAAACTTCTAGAGCATATTACAAGTATATAAATAAAGTAAACTGTAAAGTGGTAACGATTATTTTCAATTGGGGTGGTAATTAGGGGGTGATTTTCAGGTTTTTTATTGCCGAAATAAATACGGACCAACTTTATTTTCGTCATAACTCGCTTAGGTTTGATGGTAGGTACTTTTATAAATAATAAAAATAAAGGTTTTTTCACGCACTTTGAAAAAGGTTCTATGAGTATTCCCTGAAAAATGCATTGGTTTTTGGTTATTTCATGTTCAATCTTTCAATTTTGGCGTTTGACGAATAAGAACCAACCTTCAACAAGCTATTACTCCGCTTATATTGGGTCTACAGGCACCATAAACACACCATTCTTTTTGTTTTTTTATAAGCTACATTTTTATACGAATGATTTTTTTTGATAAAATACTTACTTTTTGAGTTATTCGCGAAAAACCGTCTAAAAAAGTGGTTTTTTTTTTGGTTACAAACTTTACACTTTCACTCGCGAATAAGTCGAAAAGTATCGAACTTAAAAAAAAACTTTATAGAACAAAAGTTGCTTAGAATTAGTCAATATATCCATTTTTCACCCCAGAGAAGGGATGGCATCCACCGCCAGGGTAAAACAGCCCCGGTACAAGATGAACTTTGAAGTAAAGGGTAAGAAGAACTTAAATAAAAATTTTTATGAAAATCGGTGCTGTTTGGCAAAATTATACGGGAAAATGGTAATTGTCTGGATTACCAAGTGAAAAATGCTGCTTTTCTAATATATCGTAATGTATCTTTCATCTAATATATTGTAACATTTTCTTTTAAACATGTTTCCCGTTCTTCCACGTCAGTTTCCTTCTTTTTATCAACAAAGTATTCCAAGATCTCTTCCTGGGTCTTCCCTTTGGTCTCGGACAGTAAACAAATCAAAAAGACGGTACCGATCAAGGCGATGCAACCGTAGAAAAAGAACACACCCGTACTGCGCATACTATCAACCATACTGGGGTAAATCTTAACAGCCAGAAAGTTAAAGATGAACCCACAACCCATAAGCAACCCGGAAGCTGTTCCTCGTATTTTCGTGGGAAAAAAATAGGGAAAAAACCTATGGAGAGACCCATGAGGAACCTACCGAGCAGGAGAAGCAAGTACTGGCTACTTCCAGCTGCGTAGGCGCTGTATATGGCTAACCAACCGATGAAGCAGGTTACGTTGATGCAGAAAATGGAGATTTTTCTTCCGAATTTGTCCGCTATAGGTCCAGAGAGGAAGCAGACGATTGGTGCGGCCAAAGACGCCATGCTAGCTGAGGATGTGTTAATAGTTTATTGGCTGTGAGGTACAGGGGCCCTGGAATACTACCCTGTGGTAGCACCGAAGTGTTTGCTCTTGTTTTCTTTCTACTTACCAAGCCATGTCACTTGGTTTTGACTTAGAGTAGTGTTTAGCGTTGGTATGGCCACAGCGGAGAGTCCTAAGGTCATGCTGGGGCCAATGCTGGAGAAGTTTGTGAGAAGGGCCTGGATTATCTGAAATGTGTGAGGTGGAAATGCAACCTAGTAGAAAATTGTTGACAAGGTGATTCAAGAGTAAGTATTATAAAGACAATTAGATAAGAAAGATGGAAAAGATTACATTACAATTATTCAAGGCCTAATCAGTTACTTAATAATGTTTATATCAGATTTTTTTAATAGTACGTGCGTGACAAACAAATAGACAGCAACAGAATGACATGAAAGAATTTCCGTATAAAAGAATATCTGCGTTTCAATTTTATAGATTAAATGTTTTGATAGAAAGTAGCAAATGACTCTGATAAGAACTTTTACGTCTATTTTCAACAAATATACGCTCATGTACAGAAATTAAGTTGAAAAAAATGCTTACCTACTTACTAGTTGATCTTTTGAATGTCTTTTCCATGATTATTTCTTTTTTAATCTGGAAGTCACTTTACTGTCCAGATTGCAGGTTACCAAAACTCACTTTTTTTCCGAATACAAGTGATGTACTATTACCTAATTTAATAGAAAAAAACAACAATCTTGGAGAAAATGTCGAGCAGTTTGTGGAAATAGTGGCCGATCGTCAGAATCAAAGACTTACATTGGAACTAAGGGTCATTGTGGTTTTATTACGCGAAATCATCGGTTTTAGCATAATCATCAGTTACACTTGTGGAAAAGATAAGGTAGTTTACCACTTCGAAGATAATGAAGATCTGTCAATGATTTAATCCGCGTAATAGATAAAAAAATCGATGAAATGCAAAAATGAGACAATTGGAGAACAATCTGAGACTAATCAAACTTTTTTAAGTGGATTTGTTGTGTAATAATGAAAGGTTTAATATAAATTCTTTCCCGTTGTATGTGAGGCAGCAAAGTAATTTTTATAAAATACATTTTCACTTCGAAACAAATTTTTTTATCAAAAACCAGTAATTACGGCTTGTAGAGAATACTTTGCAGTTTTCAAAACCCTGCTTGGATTTTCTGTAGGACCATTATTTCCCAAGTAATTGATTGCTAGTCAAAAAATTTTTTTGCTTTGATTGACGATAACTCAGCCACAAATCATCGTTTAGGGCTCTGGAACCGCTCAAATTGAAGATAATTCAATTATCTAAAAGAGCCTTATGGTAAAATTACCAGTAATTAGTAGAAAGTACCAGACACATTTTTAAAGTCCATAGGCCTTTTTAAAGAAAAGAAAAAATTTGCAATTCTTTTTTCGTACATTTTTTTATGATTACTCAAAAACTTCTGATGCTTAAACTCCAGATCCGAAAAGTAGAAACTTGAAGTTTCAATTTCTTTTTTTTTACTCCCTCTACGACCATTTTCCTCCAAGTTACAACTCTTTGAAAATCATTCAAAAATTTGTTTTTTTTAATATCCCTTAATTTCTGTGCCTAGTGTAATAATACATGGTTTAAACCATATCAAAGTGAGTTAAACGTTTAAAAATGCATTTTTTATTATTAAAGTACCTTTGCAGCCGTTTTCAGAATATCTTTTTAGTTAAAACTAGGAAGGATAGATACGATTAATACAGCTGTGATATAATCCAAGTTCTTTTTAATTTTTCACGATTTCTTTAACTTTAAGCCATTCCTAATGTTTCAAAATATTTTTTATATCACTCACGGTGTAAATAGGCGCCTTTTTAATTGTTAAATTCAAATTTTAAACATGTTTTTTGGGGAAGAACTACTGGCGCCATCTTGCGGTAGATTATTAAACTTCCATTTTGCGAAGTTGTTAGCAGATGGCGCCACTGATCTAATTTTGATAAAATTTCTAGATGGCTCAAATCAAATCTAGGGACTTTAGGAATTTGAATTTAAAGGTTGTCTAATCTGAAATCACCATAAATTTTATATTTCTCAAATTTCGTTTTTCCGCGCTGATGTATTCTATTTAAACTATTAGTTAATGCGAGTGTTAAAAACGTTAATCTGTATTTCCAGTGATTGTGAATTCGTTTCTTTCAAGTTACCGGACAATTCGTGGGTTCATCGCGTGTTATAACTTACCATCAAACTGGAACCACAAGAAAAGAGAAGAAAGCTTTCACTGCAAGGTATTTAGTTTTTATATATTTTTACACTATTTACAAGACTTTTGAGAAAATTACCTGTTGTACCTCATTCACAGATACAAACTGGCTCTGTTTTTTTTATTTTTTCACAAAATTTATTGTTTCTTGTAGTTATAACGATTTAAATTTTTAAGATATTAAAATTTTATTTTTCAAACTTCATAATGCTGAAACTTTATTTCACAAACTTCTTGCATTATTTTTTTGTCACGAAACTTCTCGGTGTGGGTCTAGAAACCATCCCGCAAAAAGGTGTGGGTCTGAAACTTTGTTATCAAGATACGACCAGTTTAGTTTTCACCAGCCACCACCATTCTTTCTCCTCTTTATATACGCTCATAAAAAAGACAACGTTATAGGAAACTAATTTATTTCTCACTTTAAAAAACTATTATCACCAACTAATAATATCAATTTCAGTATATTTACAAAATAACCTCACTTTTACAAAACTACCGGATTGTCTCCAACCCAAAACTTAAAAAATAAACACCTCACACAAAAAAAGAGTCCCAGGTCTTAACCTACAACCAAGGGTGCCAAGCGGGGTCCATACGACAGAGATTATCGTGGCTGTTCGCCGCTGCCACGAGCGTTGCCACCTGCAAGTGCAAAACAAGTGAAATAAGCTAAAAACACGAGAAATCCTCAGCAAATACCTTGCTATCGGTACCATCGAAATGCGCCAGACTGTTCAATCTGCTCGAAACCGAGGACACCGCCTTGTTAACCATATTTATGATCTGCTCGGCGTCCGTCATATTCTCCTGATTCGTGCCTAGTATATCCTCGGGTTTCTTCGCCCTGGACAGCATCATTTCGTCGCGCAGGATCGGTTTCAGTATAGAAAGGATCTAGAAGCATATTCTAGCAAGGAAACTTCCCGAAAATTGTCACGACTTACCTTGAAGTTGGGGTAGACGAAACACCTAGCGGTTGCGATCATGGAAGCGGTGAGCGGCCCGCTTACCCCTATGGTCGACAGGTATTCTATAATGTTGGGGGTCAGCCGGAAGGGGACGGGCCTCGCGGTGTCTAGTTCGCCTGAAAAGTAGTACATGTTCAAAAAAATTAAATATTATTAAAACGATAAGATCAAGGTTACACTCAAATGCAACATTCTGTTTTACCGGCTGTGATTTTTCAACTGGAATAACAAAAAATAATACGCTTTTCCCACGTGCACGCATATGACATGAAAGAAAACGCCTAAGCTGGAAACTGACAAATCGAGAAATGAATTATGTGGCGTGCTTGTACCTGTGCCGTCGTCCACGTCGAACTTGAAGTAAGCGATATTCATCAGCCCCGAGTCCTGGTGCAGGTACATCATGTCCGGATTGAGCCTCGTCAAGTGGAAGACGTACTCGGCGAAACAGGCCAACGCCAGTTGCAACGTGAACTGTAACAAGGGGAAAAATTGCAGATACCGGCATTTTTAAACGCCGACCCGCCCGTCCTTACCATCTTCCTGAACTGCCAGTAATCCGTGGCGGTGGGGAAGGTCTGCAAAGCCCACTGCTTTATGACGGTCCTCGGCACCATGTTCTGCTGCACGCCTTTGAGGATGTCCCTGTAGACCTGGTGGCTGGCCTTGATGCCTCTGCTCTGCACCGTGGCCAGCCTCTCGTAATAATACTGGATGGGGTCGTCGTGTTCGATGCCCAACTTCGAGCAGCCCTTCTTGAAGATATCGAGCAGCGAAATCGACGCGGGATTGTCCTCGACCAGCCTGATTTGCTGGGAGATCGCCACGACCCGGGGGACGGTGTAGTGCAGGAATTTCCTGGCAGTTTCCTACGGCAATGATTTATTTAAGTAACGTGTGATTTCAGCGTCACGTCTCTTACTTTCTGCTTTCCCAGGTAAAGGTTCAGCATCCGCATGAGTTGCAGCACCCGTTCCTCCCTCCTCGCGTCAGCTAGACCCGAATCGTTTATCACCAGGTAAGGGTAAATTTTGCCGTTGTGGCCCCTGATGTACAGCCTCCTCGCCGCCGCGTTGTGCTTCTGCACCACGTCGACCCGCGGCATGAACCGCGCTATCTTCACGAAGTAGTGGTTGTGCTTGGGCAGGAGAAACTCCCCCGGTAGCTCTACCTCCGCGGTTTTCAGTGTGAAGTTCGACAGGAACCGGCACTTTTCCTCTATCAAAAACGACCTAGAACAACGGTAAACCATCGTCACTCGACGCTTTCACATCGGACGTCGACGAACTTACTGCAAAAGCATCTTGGAGCGATTATCCAGGATCTTGATCCACTTCTTCAGCTTGAAGATGAGAGTGTGGAGCCTCATGGAGTTTGACTGGGAAAAGTCAAAGTCCTTCGTAAACTCCTTCTTCATTTCCTTGAACACGGGGTCCTGATAAGTCGCTTCCGCTCTCCTCGCTAGACTCTCCGAGGCGGCGGAGTTAAACGTGGCGTTCGTCAGACTGGAAATATTCTCTACGCCGATGCCGAAAGTAGACATCAGTTTCTTAACGAAATTAAGTATGTGAGGGGTGATTTTCGCCTCGTTCACGGCCTCCCGGTTCTCGAAAGCTATGGCGTAGCACTTGGCGAGGCCCTGCCGCAGCTGCCTGAGAACCTCCTCGTACCAATTCTCCCTGAACCACTCGATCTGAAACAAAACGTAACGTTAAAAGAAATAACGATACACGTTTCGAGATTACCTGATCCGCTATACCCTCGAGACTGGACAGCACGGTGGGGTGGATATCCCGCTGCATCTTCATGATCTTGGAGCACCGGGTCATGGAGGAGGTCGCCTTGATCCAGGACGCCTTCACGGTGGGTTGGGTGGCGGACGTCGACGTGCCGGTGCTGCTCTCCGATGACGACGACTGGGTGCTGCTCTGCGTCTCCTCGCTCTTCTGCGTCTCCTGCGCCTGCTGTTGCTGCTGCTGCTGCTGTTGCTGCAACAGAATCTTAAATAAATTTTCATTAGAACGGACTTGCTACGAGTGCTCCAGCAGTCGTATATACCGAATTCGTTTTCCTGGCCGTGACGGTCCTCAGGGTCAGGTACAGGATCCTTATGGGGAAGTAGACGGCCTGGGGGAATAGTCTGCCGACCTAAAAGTGAACCGAGTTAGAATTCTATCGTACGGGATGTAAAACGTGACGTACCTGACAAAGCAGGTTCAGTATCACGTTGTCTTCGTACTGCACGAGACAGTTGAGGAGCTGCGGCGTCCACGGCAGCCACAGTATTGGGGGTACCCCCACGTAGTACTTATCCAAAGCCCCCATTATACTGAAAAAAAATAATACAAGTAGTCCAGGCGGTATCTGTTTCAGGTTGGGTAAAACGCATGTGATCGGAGATTTTTGCCTTAGCGGCTTCTAAATAACATCAGAAATGATAATTTTTCTATGCAAATGAAAAAGACGTGGGGTTAATTGTTATTGCAAAAAAATATAAAAATATAGCAAAAAAAATTCATTTTTTTCTTGGATTTCTCGTCGACAACTTAGCAACTATTCGTTTTAGACAAAAATGGAAGAGGAAAAAGTTTTGTAATTAAATTTTGAACAAGATAGAGTGAGTTGCAATTCGAAAAAATAATTATTGTTGTTGCAAAAATCGGAAAAATGATTTTAAAAAATTGCAAAAAAAAGCTAGTTTATTTGCCAATTTTTTTCAGACACTTGAATAATACCTAGGATCTTCATACTTTTCCCAATTAGACCTCTTAGTGTATAAAATCATCACACCAAATTTCATCCAATTCGGTTCGATAGTTTTTACATAATTGTTTAAATTTTATTTTTTTTTAATTAAAAAATTTTCAAAATCAAATTTCTGAAAATATAAAGCCTTTGAATACTTGAAAATTTCACCACAGAAAGAAGAGCTTTCAAGCTTTAAAATGCTTTTTGAAAAATTTAAATCGGATGATAAGGTGAGCTGTGGTGATTGCTTAAATATTCTCGCAATTTTCACACTTATAAACAATTGCAATAATTTAATGTTTTTTTCAAATTTTTGTTTATTTTAAAATATGGTTTGAAAGTACTCGGAAAGACGAGTATTTTAAAAAATAAACCGGATGATCCGCCCATTATTTTCGGAGATATAGCCCGTTAAAGTTAACCTTATTTACAGCAAAACTATAAGGGTATAAGGGCTGTTTTTTGAACTAATAGGTTTGTCATTCCGAATACTTTCCAGATATAAATTTTCAAAATTTGCAATCAAGGACGCCCCATTTAAAATGTCACTGAAAGATATTCAAGACTGTGTGAAATCAATGAGGTATCAGTGATGGGGGGAGCAAACACACAGCTACTCCGATCCAAATTCTCGAGATCAAAACTGCAACGCTCGGAAAAATTTCAGTTATCTCAGCTTCTAATGAACCAATTTCGATCATTTTTTTTTTAAATCAGTCTCGCAACTTAAAAATTCAATTATCATATTTTCAACTACCTTTTATTATTAATTATTGAACTTTTGACATGCCGATAAACAGTTACTTTAAAAAATGATCAACTTATTATGTTTATTTATTTACTATGTTCATATTCACGACCAAAATTTTTGCATATTGGGTAATACTTGTAAGTTTGTTTAAATATTATAAAATTGTTTAAACAATAATTATTTAAATAAACAACTGAAAATTGACATTTTAATTATTGTATATTTTAATTAATTTTTTCGTTTATTGAAACTTTTTAAAATATAAATTGTATTCATGGTTATAAAAAATTGAAAACAAGATAGGTCCATTAANTTATCCAAAGCCCCCATTATACTGAAAAAAAATAATACAAATAGTCCAGGCGGTATCTGTTTCGGGTTGGGTAAAACGCATGTGATCCGAGATTTTTGCTTTAACGGCTTCTAAATAACATCAGAAATGATAATTTTTCTATGCGAATAAAAAAAAAACGTGGGCTTAATTGTTATTGCAAAAAAGTATGAAAAAATAGCAAAAAAATTTATTTTTTCTTGGATTTCTCATCGACAACTTAGCAACTATTCGTTTTAGACAAAAATGGAAGAGGAAATACTTTTGTAATTAAATTTTGAACAAGATATAGTTAATTGCAATTCGAAAAAATAATTATTGTTGTTGCAAAAATCGGAAAAATCATTTAAAAAATTGCAAAAAATGCTAGTTTATTTGTCAACTTCATTCAGACACTTGAATAATATCTAGGATCTTCATACTTTTCCCAATTAAACTTCTTAGTGTACAAAATCATCACACCAAATTTCATCCAATTCGGTTCGATAGTTTTTATACAGGGTGGTCCGAATTTTATGCAGGAAACTTTGAAGGCAGATAGATCTCTTTAAAACAATATGTGTTTGCCTTATAAACATTGGTCTGGAACAGCCCCGTTTTAGAGATACAGGGTGTTGAAGTTGTTAAAAAAAATTGATTTTTTGTTTATATCTCAGGAATCTATAAACCGATCTCAATAAAATTTGGTATAGATAATGTATGATAGTAGACCTTACATTCCCTAAAATATGAGCTTTAAAGGTTCAACCAGTGGTGTACAACTGGACAGGGGTCGCCCCTTTTTTTACAAAAAAAAACCTAGACCACTGCATTTTTTACAAGTCATTGTAACAGATTTATATTCTAATGCACAAAATACGTAAAAAAGGTGACTTTAATTTTTTCCCTAAGATTCGCCGTTTTCACGTTATTCATACCAATACAATCCCTTTGTGGCAGACACTTCTAACGGTAATATTACAAGAATATTTATGTTTATGCTTAAAAGTATGTGCAATTTGTAAGCACATCAACAAAATTATTTACACTTCTTATTACACCACCTGTGAGTGTTCCTGGCGTGTTTTAGTTTTCCCTGAAGGCCTAATACTCTTTACAAATAAGAACAATTTAAATCAAAATAATAATAAAAATATATTTACCAAGCAACAGCAACTAAACAAGAAACAAAATTAACGTTACGTATTTACAACAATTGTTCAAAATGCGAACCACCCACATCGATACATTTCTGACATCTTCTATTAATGGAATTAATTGGAGCTAATATCATGTCGTGGTTTTCTTTTAATTCATTACACCCGTCTTCTATTCGTTGCAGTAGTTGTAGTCTTGTATCTGTTGGAATAGAATAAACTTTTCAGATAACCTCAAACATAGAAGTCCAGGTGGTTTAGATATGGCAGTCTAGCTGGCCAAGACACTGGACCCTCTGCACCATTATGGTTGACATTGGCATTTGGTCTTTTATCTATCCATCGCCCCATATAATGTTCATTAAGTCATTCTTATATTATTCTCCCAGAATGCTCGGGAGCACCATCCATTGTATCCAGCTATTTTGTCATATATTTAATGGAACATCATCTAATAATTAAAATAGATGGTTCTCTAGAAAGTTTAGAAATGACTGGAAATTTAGACGAAGTGGGAAGAAGAAAGGTCCACAAACTTTATTGCGAATTATTCCGAGCCACACGTCCACAGAAAATTCGTGTTGAAAAGATCTTGTCCGAATTTCATGAGGATTTTCTTGTGACCAAATATGCAGATTGTGAAAATTCACTACCCCTCGCCTTTGGTAAATGTACATTTATTATTATTTTTATTTAAGTCGTCCTTATTTGTAAAGACAGTGGGTTAGGCTTCCAGGGGAAACTAAAACGCGTAAGGAACTCTACCTCACAGGTGGTGTGGAAACGAGTGTAAAGAATTTTGTTGATGTGCTTACAAATTCCACTTACTTTTAAGCATAAACATAAATATTCTTGTAATATTATGGTTAGAAATGTCCGCACAAGGGGATTGTATTGGTATGAATAACTTGAAAACGGCGAATCTTAGGGAAAAAATTCAAGTTACCTTTTTTACATATTTTCTGCATCATAATATGTCTGTTACAATAACTTGTAAAAAATGCAGTGGCGTAGGTTTTTTTATAAAAAAGGGGGGTGTCCCTGTCCAGTTGTACACCACTGGTTAAACCTTTAGAGTTCATATTTTAAGGAATACAAGTCCTACTATCATAGAATAACTGTACTAAATTTTATTGAAATCGATTGATAGATTCCTGACATATAAACAAAAAATCAATTTTTTTTAACAACTTTAACACATTATTTTAAAGAGGTCTATCTGCCTTCGAAGTTTCCTGCATAAAATTCGGACCACCCTGTACAATAATTGTTTAAATTTTGTTTTTAATTAAAAAAATTTCAAAATCAAATTTCTAAAAATCTAAAGCCTTTGGATACTTGAAAATTTCACCACAAAAAGAAGAGGTCTCAAGCTTTAAAATGCTTTTTGAAAAATTCAAATCGGACGATTAGTTGAGCCATGATGATTGTTTAAACATTTTCGCAATTTTCACTCTTATAAACAATTGCAATAATTTAATGTTTTTTTCAAATTTTTTTTTATTTTAAAATATGGTTTGAAAGTACTCGGAAAGATGAGTATTTAAAAAAATAAAAATGATGATCCGCCCATTATTTTCGGAGTTAAAGTTTCACTTATCTCAGCTTCTAATGGACCAATTTTGATGATTTTTTTTAAATCGATGTCTCACAACTTAAAAAATTCGATTTTCATGTTTTCAACTACCTTTTATTATTAATTATTGGACTTTTGACATGCCGATAAACAGTTACTTTAAAAAATGATTAATTTATTATGTTTATTTATTTACTATGTTAATATTCACGACCAAAATTTTTGCATGTTGCACCAGGTAATACTAGTAAATTTGTTTAAATATTATAAAATTGTTTAAACAATAATTATTTAAATAAACAACTGAAAATTGGTATTAATTTTTAGTTGTACGATAAATTTCTAAGTCTTTCAAAAATTATTACTCACATAAATTGTGAATAATTATAATTTTAATTTTTTCGTTTACTTTTAAAATATTTATCTAAAATTTATTTTTTATTTATAAAAAAAGTATAAGAATCTTTTGGATACTTAATTAATACCAACAACATGGTGCAACATGCAAAAATTTTGGTCGTGAAAATTAACATAGTAAATAAATAAACATAATAAATTAATCATTTTTTAAAGTAACTGTTTATCGGCATGTCAAAAGTCCAATAATTAATAATAAAATGTAGTTGAAAATATGATAATTGAATTTTTTAGTTGCGAGACATCGATTTAAAAAAAAATCATCGAAATTGGTCCATTAGACGCTGAGATAAGTGAAATTTTTCCGAGTGTCGCAATTTTGAACTCGAGAATTCAGATCGGAGTAGCTGTGTGTTTGCTCCCCCCACCACTGATACCTCATTGATTTCACGCGGTCTTGAATATCTTTGAGTGACATTTTAAATGGGACGCCCGTGATTGCAAATTTTGAAAATTTATATCTGGAAAGTACTCGGAATGACAAACCTATTAGTTCAAAAAACAGCCCTTATACCCTTATAGTTTTGCTGCAAATAAGGGTTAACTTTAACGGGCTATAACTTCGAAAATAATGGGCGGATCATCAGGTTTTTTTTTTAAATACTCGTCTTTCCGAGTACTTTCAAACCATATTTTAAAATTAAAAAAAATTGAAAAAACATTAAATTATTGCAATTGTTTATAAGTGTGAAAATTGCGAAAATATTTAAGCAATCACCACGGCTCACCTAATCGTCCGATTTGAATTTTTCAAAAAGCATTTTAAAGCTCGAGAGCTTTTTGTGGTGAAATTTTCAAGTATCCAAAGGCTTTAGATTTTTAGAAATTTGATTTTGAAAATTATTTAATTAAAAGAAAAATTTAAACAATTATTATGTAAAAACTATCGAACCGAATTGGATGAAATTTGGTGTGATGATTCTATGCACTAAGAAGTTTAATTGGCAAAAGTATGAAGATCCTAGGTATTATTGATTTTTCCGATTTTTGCAACAACAATTATTATTTTTTCGAATTGCAACTAACTGTCTTTTTCAAAATTTAAATACAAAAGTTTTTTTCCTCTTCCATTTTTGTCTAAAATGAATAATTGCTAAGTTGTCGACAAGAAATCCAAGAAAAAAAAAGGTTTATTTTTGCTATTTCTTTACTTTTTTTCAATAACAATTAAGCCCACGTTTTTTTTATTTGCATAGAAAAATTATCATTTCTGATGTTATTTATAGTAGGATCATATTTGATGCAAAGTAATAAATCATTGCCTGTCAAGAGATCCAGTGCCATACACTTTTAAGGGTTTTAGAAATTGAATAATTTCTTTAAACATTATAAAGGGACGAAGAGATCAGTTCACATCTGGCACCCTTGTTCCTACAAAAATTCCTTTACTCTCATAAACTATTTATTTTAAATGTGATTTATTATAAATCCAATTTGTTTTATAATTTCCACATATGTACTACATTTTACCTCTGTACGCGCCACTGTTGTTTGCTTGTTTTTTGGAGGCGATCTCTGTTTTACGATCAAGCTCGCCAGGTTAGTATTTGACGTATAACCGACCACTTCGTACACTCGATGCACCTGGGCGACTACAGCTACAATCAGAACACAGTGTGTATGCAGCAGTATTTCAGATTTAACATTCAATTTCATTTTAAATTTGAAATGGTTCATCTTACGCCTCCTAAAAATGATGACACGAATTTCTTTTGATAAAAGACCAACAACTTTTTGTTCTACTTTGCATCGAATACAATGCTACTATAGAAGCCATTAAAGCAAAAATCTACGAACATATGCTTTTACACAAGTATACCCTTTTTAAAACAGATACCGCCTGGACTAAAAATTGTACAGGCCAATAATTTTAGATCCCGAGAAGCAAGCGAATTCGGGAGTTCTCCAAAGTTCTCATTTGGGTCCTTTACTGTTTAATGTATTTATTAATGACTGACCTTGAATTCTCGTCGTCGTATATGAGGAGCCACAGCACCTTGGCCAAGTACTTCCTGGCCTTGGACTCGTTCTGGTGTCGGCACGCGTGCAGGAAACACGTCATCGCGTTCACCCCCAGGTTGATCTGTCTCGGATCTCTGGTGAAAACCTGCTCCAAGTAGTCTCCGTATAACGCCCAGGCTTTGATGGAGGTGTCGTGCATCTGCACCGCCGCGGAGAAAGCCTTGTTCGCCTCGTCGGACTTATCTAAGAGACAGAGTTAAAAAAAATTTGAATTTCGAATTTCCTCGGAACGGTACACTTACTGCTTAGGTGGTACATCATCCCCTTCAAAGCATAGAACTCCGCAGTCATCTCCTTGCTCAGGTACTGCATCTTCGTGTGGTTGATTACCTCCAAGCCCTCGGCCAGCTCGTTCTTGTTGTTCATGGAGGCGAGCTGCAGGTAGCACTTCACCTGCTGCCGCACCTTCTGGAAGTAGTCGATGATCGGCACGCTGGAAATGCTGCAGATCCTGTTCAGGGACTCGAGGCAGACGTTGATGAGCTTGTGTTTCCTCGCCACCTTCCCAAAGTGGATGATCGACTGTGCGGAAGCGTGGACCCCCAGCATGGAATTGGCGGTGGTGGTGTCCCTGTTGCTCTCGTAATGGTTGACGATGACCTGGTAGTGGTGCTGGCGCCACGTGAAAATGTCGTTCCAGTGCACCAGGTCGTCTGCTATAACCGGCAGCCTGTTCCGCCAGGTCTTAACTATGGCCTTCATGTCGTGCAGGGAGTTCTGGTGGCTCTGCATCAGGCCTTTGTGGATCTGGTATGCCTCTTGCAACTCCATGATCTGGAAGAAAAAAACGAGAAATAACACGACACGTCAGGAGTAACTTAAAAACGTACCTCTTGCGCCGCCTGGAGGTACTGCAGGTGTATGTGGCTGACGATGTGCGGCAGGCGCCTCCACTCGTTCAGACAGAGCGCGCTGGCGCTTTCCACGTACCGCTCGACGATTTTGAGCGGTTTCTTCTCGTCCGGCTGGCAGATCAGCAGGTAGCCGCCGTACATGGTGATCTTCCATCCCAGCTCCTTCGGGCAGTTGTATTCTACATTCGACAGGGCCTCCTTCATCACGTCCCACTTGGGGATCCTCCAGGCCGTCTCCAGCAGCAGGTACGGGTTGTAGACGAAGTTCTTGGCGTATTCCATGAGGACCTCCCACTGGTTTAACTCCTTGGCGCACCTGATCCAATGGTCGTGCCACAGCAGGATTTCCCTCTGGGTGTGCGTGGGGACGGGACCCATGCTGTTGTCCGTTTTGTGCTTCGCCATGGCCGCCTCGTAGGCGCCTTGGGCTTGCTCGAAGAACCCGTGCTGCTCGTAGGCGATGGCTATGCCGGTCTCCTTGTACTGGGAGTGTTTCTGCCACAGACCTGCCCATAGGTCCTCTTCGCACAGCAGGGAATACAGCTCGCCTAAAGAATCCAGCAGTTCCTGAAAACGTTCCGCCGTTTAACTCCGAACTGACTGTACCGTTTAATCGAATTACCGTTTTGGATAGTTCGCCTTCGAATTCGTAACAGCTCGCCGGATTGCTTGATTTGGAGACGGAGGTAGGATCGAAGGCCATCTGCTCCAAACCCAAGGCCATTCTGTGCCAGAGGTTGTGGGACTTCCCTATGTACTTCATCAGCGGTCTGAAAAAAAAATTAAGTAAGCGACGCTAGGCGTATTGTATCGCCCGATCAAGGGAAACTTACGGTGACATCTGTATGGGAGGGGTGCACCTGTACATGGCTTCCACGAAGGTGTTAATGGCGCTAGGGTGGCAATCTTTTTGTATGATGTGGGTGCCGGACGTAACGAACGGCAGCATTTCTTGCACCAACAGCTGGTTAAGGCAGAGAAATTTCAATTAACGCAAGTTTAAACACTAGGGTTAGTGCTAAAATACGAAAGTCGGGGTCGAACTGCCTATGACGACCCGAACGGAACGCTGTTAAACACTTACATTGCGTTGGTCGTCCTCTAATATAGACCAAAGTTTCGGGAACAACGACAGCCACACGTGTTCCGCCAGACCCGTATCCATGTGGCACAACTGCGCAGTGGCCACCAAAAACTGTTCCGTCGTCACGTTCCTCGACACCTGTATGAATTCGTAGTGCTTCTTTATCATCTTGATGGTCTCCTCCCGGATGATGGGCTTCTCCTCAACCGTCGGATTAGCCTCCACGTTCGACAAGTCCACGTCCAGCATTTCCTCTTTGTTCTCCACCGAGTCGCAGAACTCTGGTTTCTGGAACTGGTGACGGCTGAACTCCTCCTTCTTGTGTTTATCGGCGGAGCTTATAACGGAGGTAATACTCGGCAGGATGCTGCTCTCGTGGGCCATCTCTATACCTCCGTCTAAAAAAAAAAATGGTTTGTTGATAAAACGTTTTGATGTTCGTGAGATTTAGTGACCTGGGGCGGACGTTACGAGCAGCAGTTCGATGCACTGCTTGATCCAGTAGTGGGGCCCTATAGCGTCCCAGTTTTGGGAGCAGACTATGTAGAGCAGCCTGTCTTGTAACCGTCTTTGCATGGACTCGTCGAAAACCTTGAAAAATTTCGCCCTGATGTGGGGCTGGCCGCATCGCAGCCCCGCTAAGAAGGCGGGTTCCAGTTTCGAGGTTAGCTCGGTCGTCTTGAGGTGCTTGTCGCTGAAAACAACGATTTACAAAAAATCGGTTGCGGATGATGTAAATTACAATAAAACAACGAGAAATGCAAATCACATCCACGATATTCAAATTATGACCTGTCTTCGTTATAAATCGAACAAAAACAGCGCCATCCCTTGGTTATTTAGATTACTTACGTGTACACATAGTGAACCAGTTCCAAGAATTGAGCGTTCAACTCGTTATCGTCGGGGAACCTCTTCTCTACGTACTGCATCATCTTCCCTAGCAAAATAGACTTCTCCCTAAAGCTGGGCGCCTGGTTGAGCGTCACGACGTTCTTGCACTTCATCCACTCCTCCAACATCTGAAAGTAACGAGAAATCCGATCGGTCACTAGCAACCTTAATGACTTTTTAATGTCGTCACCTTCGTGATGGCCTTCATCACTTTGATATCCTGCGTCTCCTCGATCAGCTCCACCAGAATGGTCCCGATGAACGTCTTACGCATCTCGACGCCCATCACCACCACCCTCGTCTTCACGAGGTCCAGGCTCAGGATCAGCAGCTCGCTGGTCAGGGCGGTGTATTCCGTCGAGATGGGCTGTAAATGTTCCTTGTGCAGTTTCTGCAGGACCCGCATGAACGGCGTTATCAGCAGGTCTATGCACGAGTGGTTGTTGGCGCAAGCCGCTTTCAGGATCATCACTGTCCCGAATAAGCTCGACGGGTTCTCTTTCTTCTCGTAATTGTTCAGGCCTTCCAAGATGACCTTGCCGATGTGACTATAGAGGGGCTCCAGTTCCTCTTCCTTGCAGCTTAAATTCGTGGTGGTACGTTCGATGGGAAATATGGACATCAACTTGGTGAGCAGGTTGTGCACCAGTTTGATGATCTTGCTGTTGTTGGAGGTTATGCACACTTCGATGCCCCTCTTCAACAGCTTGAAGCTCGCCAGGATCTGCTTCTTGTCCAGAACTGTCAGGAGGTAAGTCAGGAGTTCCAGGGCCGTGCATATGTTCGCTACGTTGGGATTTGGGGTCTCTAGCGTCATCAGGATCTTGTCGAAGAATCCCAGTTTCAGATCCACCGGTTGGGGCCATATATCTGGCTTCAGCGCCGTCTTCAGGAGGATCACGCACCGCCTGGACAAGACCTCGCCCGGGCTGTTGGCTATGGGATTGGCGGGATTTACCGGCGGAGATTCATTGACCTAAGGAAAAAAATGGCACTCGTGGGAAACAACTAATCTAAGAGCTACATGTTTCGTCCAGCATTGAATGACACCCACCAATATCTAGTATAGGTTATATCTCACCCACATTGATTATATTTTTTTGGAATAAAGGCATTCATCATACCTGGCAAGCCAGCCTAAGCAGGAAATTGAGGACGGTATCGGTGTGGGCCCTATCGATGGGTTTATTCACTCCCGGTTCGCTTTTCACCACCGCCACGGGCACAGTTCCCGATCCAGAGGGTCCGGGGATAGCCATCTTCTTCCTGCTGCTTTCGCCTTCGTCGAAACTCGACCTCTTAACGGGAAAACTTTCCACCACCTGAAAACAACAACGATTACGTCTGGCCCTCAACCTTTAACAATAACCCACCTCAGATCCCTTGGATTCCTCCTTTATACCGTACAGTTCCCATTTTATTATGACCTCCGCCAATTCCACAGCCAATTTGCGGTGCTCCAAAGTCGCCGTCGGGCTGAAACCTAGCCTTTGGATCGAACTGACCATGTGCTGTACCAAATCGTGCCTGACGGGGTAGTAAACCTACAAAACGTGGTAACGGGTTGGCCGCCTCAAACTCCAGACTTACACCCGTCGGACTTACCTTGTAGTGCTTCACGACCAGCTGCAGGATGTGGAATAACTGTTGCATCGAATGTCCCTCGTCCACGATAATCTTCTTGGTCCAGTGGGTGAGCATCGTGTGACCCTCTTCCATTCTTAACGGCATAGACGGTGTCAGAATCTCCAACGCTTGCCGCACTACGTTCCTCGCTTCTACCGCGTGCGCCTTCAGAAGGCTATGAAACACTAAAACGATTACGTTAATTATTTATTCGTCGGTAAATAAGTGGGTCTCACCTTGCAAAACGATCTTCCGGTGTATAGCGAACTTGTCGATGATGTGAGACAGGAGCAGGTGACCATGGTAGCGCGTTGCCGGGTCGACACAATTCTCCACGAGCAGACAGGGCCAGGCGAAAGTCATAAGCCTGCGCAGCTTGAAGCCCTGGGCTTTGTTGCTGGCGTCGTGGTCGTGGATGTGGGGGCTGGCCTGCTCCACCAGGAGGCACGAGAACTGGAGCAGCGATATCCTGACGCAATCGGCCGATGGAAACGGGTTATCCGGATCAATCAGCTAAAAAAAATTAAGATTATTTCTCGTGTTTCATATTTTGGACGGGGGTGTCGCACCTTGTTGATAAACACCGAAACGACGTTATCGCTGCTGTCTTGGTAGGGCGTCGGGGGGCCCCCTACCAGCTTGTTAGTCTCGCTCCTTTCGAAACTGACGGCGAAGCACGGTATAAGTATGAGTTGAAGGACTTTGGCTTTCAGTTCTTGCGACATGTCCCCTAGAGGGAATAATTCGACGAATCTGAAGAACGCCGACCGTTTCCACTCCACGGTGTAATTCTGGGCCACGGTATTCTCTAAAAAGTCCCTCAGGAACTGGAATTCGGGGATGAACCTGTCGACGGTAGCCCGGAGGAGTTGGAATAACAGGTCGATGTCGGTCGGGTGGTGGCAGAAGTAGTGGAGCAGGATCTTCACCAACAGCTTCGGCTCTTTCCAGTGCGTGTACTCGAGCTGTTCTACGTTCTTGTGCCTTTCCTGGTACGTGTCGTCGCACCATATCTGCTTGAGTGAGTCCACCAGCTCCTGCTGTGTCGACAGCCACTGGTCGTCGAACTTGATCAGGAGCGCTATGATCCGTATGCCCTGGTACTGCAGTTCGTTCCTCTCGTGTAACTCCAAGTTCAAGTTGATGTAGTTGGAGAGCACCATCGCTATGAGGCGTTTCACCATATTGTTCTGGATGTAGTCCCTGAAGGGTTTCCCTTCCTTGTGCTTGACCAGATACTGCAGGTACCTGCTGAACTGCTTGTCCTTGATGTAGTTATCGCTGAGGAACATCTCCAACGTCTCTGCGGGGTAGCGCAGCAGGAATTTCATTAGTACGTCGCGGAAGGGGCTGCTCGCTTCGATCATCATCGCCTGTTCCGTTTGCAGGATCAACTGGCAGAGCTGGGTGATGAATTTCGAGGAGGCGGCGGGCGTTTGGTGGAAGATACTGATGATGGTCACGATCTTCTGCTCTTCGTCGCCTTTCCTGGATATGCTGCTGCCGTTTCCTTCTGTAAAATTAAAAGTAGTGACGCACTTGGAGAATAACGGGACTCGATACGCACCTGGAGCGATTTTGTAAGTGTTACTGAGATTTTCCATCAACTCTTTCAAGATTTCAAGCAACTGCTCGCACAGTTTCTCGTTGAAGACGTTGGGGAACAGCTGCGTGAGGTACGACAACATCTTGAAGCCGTTCAGTGTCAGATTCTTCTCGTTGCCCAGCGTCATCAACAGCGGACGAACGGTTTGGTAAACCAGTCCTTTTTCGACCGTATAGCCCGCTATGAAGTTCTTCATGCACTCGAAGGCGGTCTCTTGCAGTTCTGCGTTGGGCTTCTCCAACGCCTTGTACAGAACCTGGAATATTTGCTCCCTGTCGTTCTCCAGGTAATGACAAGCGGCCAGAACCTTCAAGGCGCTGGTCCGCAACGGGATGAAGTTTGTTATGTTCTTGTAACACGAGAACGTGTTGAGTTTGGAGTCGTCCGTGTTGCACAAGAACAGAAGGTCCTGGATGAAGAGGTTGTCCTCTTTTATGCTCGTGTCTGCATCAAACGATTGTCGTTATAGTCGCGGTCGCATTACGGTTTGTAATTACTTACCGATAGTGAACAGCCTTGGTGTGAGAGTAGTACAGAACGTGTTGCCGTCCATCAGTCCCATTTGCGCGATGGCCGGTTGGTGCTTTAAGAGGTGTTTCTTGGGCGGGACCATATCCGCGAGGACGTCTTTGAACGGTTCCATGACCGCCGTGACGGTTTTGTCTTGTTTTTCGGCCAAAAGGCGCAGAGAAGCCATCGACTGTAACAAATATACACGATGTGACTTTATATTGCCCAGAAAATCAATCTGAAATTATTATACCCTGAGCAGCAAAAGTATGGAATATATTTATTTATTTAAAAATCAGATGTTCGTTATTTGAAAAGTCGCTCGGACCCGTCGAATAATATTTTTAGTTGCGTGTTTTCTGAAGCAATTCTTATTTATACAGGGTGGCCCAAAAAAAAAGTTCTGAAATCAAGGCCAACTTTTTTAAATGGAAACTCCACTTTTTTGTATTTTTATTCAATTCTCCATGGAATTCTGATTTTTTTTAATGTAACATAACCTATACTGTTTTCAAGATAATGGCTCTGAATATAGAATATGGAAAATTTTCAAATATTACCCTGCTGGTTTTAAATTTATTTAAAATAAACCCCACGTTTACTTTTCCATCTTAGATCTGTGTGGTTCACAGAAACTTGCTTCAAATCAGAAAAATCCATAAGAAATAAGTGGTTCGATGATTTATTTTGATCATTAGGACGCAATGACTTGAATGTAAAAAATATAAGTGAGGTATTTAGGTATAATTTAATTAAAAACGCATAATTTTATTGTATAAAATAGACGACAAAATAACAATGGGCATATTTACGAATTTGTAGAATAGCCCTGAACCCCANACGGTTCCATGACCGCCGTGACGGTTTTGTCTTGTTTTTCGGCCAAAAGGCGCAGAGAAGCCATCGACTGTAACAAATATACACGATGTGACTTTATATTGCCCAGAAAATTAATCTGAAATTATTATACTGTGAGCGGCAAAAGTATGGAATATATTTATTTAAAAATCAGATGTTTGTTATTTGGAAAATCGCTCAGACCCGTCGAATAATATTTTTAGTTGCGTGTTTTCTGAAGCAATTTTTATTTATACAGGATGGGCCAAAAAAAAGTTATGAAGGCCAACTTTTTTAAATGGAAACCCCACTTTTTTGTATTTTTATTCAATTCCCCATGGAATTTTGATTATTTTTTATGTAACATAACCTATACCGTTTTCAAGATAATGGCTGAATATAGAATATGGAAAATTTTCAAAAATTACCCTGCTGGTTTTAAAATAAAACCCATGTTTACTTTTCCATCTTAGATTTGTGTGGTTCACAGAAAGTTGCTTCAAATCAGAAAAATCCATAAGAAATAAGTGGTTTGATGATTTATTTTGATTATTAGGATGCAATGACGAATATAAAAAATATAAGTGAGGTATTTAGGTATAATTTAATTAAAAACGCATAATTTTATTGTATAAAATCGATGACAAAATAACAATGGGCATATTTACGAATTTGTAGAATAGCCCCGAACCCCAGAAAAAATGCATCTTTTATACTGAATTTTTTTAATTTACAAAAATGTAAAAAATTATTGTTAAACGAAATATTAATTAAAATTTCAATTTCGGAATAATTTTACTATTATTAAGTAAATAAATGAAGCCATCGTTAATTTAAAAAGTTATTTTATTTATATATTAGGCCAAAGTAAACTTATTTTTTCAATATTTTGTTAGTTATTTAATTACGATTTAAATGTAAAATTGAAGTAAAAATTCACAAATTGTTTTCAAATTATTATTATTGTTAAAAGATTTAAAAAAAGAATAAAAAGCATTTGAATTTATTGCAAAATCCTTAAAATTAAAAAATATTAATAAAAATAATGCGGTCGATAAAATTACTATTTTAACTTCCTGAAATTTTAATATATAAAGTTTTTTTATTATATTTATTACTAATTTTATAAACATAATCAAAATTAATTCAAAAAATATTAATCACAACCATTTTCAATAATAGATATAAATAATGCAATATAATACAATTTAAAATTTAAAATTTTTTCTATTTTTATGAGAAATAATATTTTGAAAATAATTTACGAATTTTTACTTTAATTTTACATATAAATCGTAATTAAATAGCTAACAAAATATTGAAAAAACAAGGTTACTTTGCCTTAATATGTAAAAGAAATAACTTTTTAAATGAACGATAGCTTCATTTATTTATTTAATAATAGTAAAATAATTCCGAAATTGAAATTTTAATTAATATTTCGTTTAACAATAATTTTTGTGACATTTTTGTAAATTAAAAAGAATTAAGCATAAAAAATGCATTTTTTCTGGGTTTCAGGGCTATTCTACTAATTCGTAAATAAGCCCATTGTTATTTTTTCGTCGAGCTACCCCAAATTAAAAAAAATAAGTTTCATCGTAGGATGAATAGAAGCCGAGATATTGCAAGATTTACAGCGCGCATCAATTTGAACTGAACGCCTCCGACCGCCGCGCCGGTATAGTGTATTTCTAGTTAACATTTTTTATAATAAAAAGCATTCGCCTGACGTTTATTTTTCAGATGTTAAAATAGAACCGGCTTCTTTGACCATTTTAATAGGAAAATACTGGTACAAATTAGTCTCAATTATTATTCGCTTCATCAGTAACTTAATCAAAATTGTACTAGTAAACAGTTAACTAGAAACGACACGCATTTGTTTCGCCAAATCTTNGGGCTATTCTACGAATTCGTAAACATGCCCATTGTTATTTTTTCGAGCTACCCCAGTTTAAAAAAAATATAAGTTTCTACGATGAGTAGAAGCCAAGATATTACAAAATTTTACAGCACGCATCAATTTGAACTTTGGATTTCACTATTCCCGTGCGCGCGACTAGCTTGGATGAGCTTCCCCCATAACCACGCCGGACAGTTTACTTAGCAAGTACCTTCTCTTTAAAGGGCTCGTGAGTCGTTAATTTCCCACATTTTTCAATGCAATTTATGGGAAATCGTATTTTATTTTGCGGTCTTAATATTTATAAACATTTGCCCTACGATTTAAAAAAAAATTCTTATCTTGGCTCCTGTTGGTCGTAGAGGGTGCTTTTTTTTAAATTTGTATTTTTTTGCCAGCTATCCATTGAATCTATTTTCGGTGAGGTAGCATAAATAGCAACAATTTTATTCAAATTGTTTATAAGCGAAAAATGCACGTTTTTTTAACGCACAATTTGGGAATGTTAATGTCAAAAAAACGGTGATATTTTTTAATACGTCGCTTAATTACGTCTTTGAGATTACAATAACGCTTTCAGAATCATGTTTGGTTGAAAATTAACGCCTGTACAGAGACTTAAAATTAATAATTTTTGGAGCTTCCGTTATAAACAAATTGAATTGTGCGAAAAGTATTGCACCTACAGCGCCCACTTTTGGCATACTTTTAAAATATGACAAAACCCTCAACTTGTCATAGATTTTATAAAATTTTAACAATAAATGCGATAGTTATGAACAAATTAAAAAATGGACACTTTTCTTGTTTTTTTGCAATAACTTTTTTGTTTATTAACTGATTTTAATTTAATAAGTCACATTTTGTAGATAATTTTACTCCCTACAAGCTGTCTGCGAGTCACTTTTCGCTAAAATTGATGGTTATCCCTGCAAAGTGAAAAAACTGTTTTCCTCAATTATTTGTTTAAATAGAAAAGTTTTTACAATAATATCGCGGATAGGAATTTTTTCGAGTTTCTCTTTTATCTTCGCTAATTTTCCTGGTGTAATAGGCTTGGGTATTGTCAAGAAACCAATTTGAACATTTAATTTAACTCTGTTTGAATTAGTTTATAATTCTGAACTTTTTGCAAATTTTTCTTACAGTAGCTTGAATGATTGTATGATTTGGATATTTGTTACTGAATATTTCACATTATTCTTGATGTGTTCTGGCTTTGTCAGTTTGTACCAAACAAACTAAAATTAAGAATTATGTTCATTAGCTGTGCTTAAATGTTTGAAAAACACAAAATGTATTTAGCAGAAAGTGCACCAGTTCCCACCGACTTTGACGTATCGAGAGTAATTTTTGAAAATTTTCCATATTCTATATTCAGCCGCCATTATCTCGAAAACAGTTAAAGATAGTTATAGGTTATGTTACATAAAAAAATGATCAGAATTCCATGGAGAATCGAATAAAAATACAAAAAAGTGGGGTTTTCACTTAAAAAAGTTGGCCTTGATTTCATAACTTTTTTTTGGGCCATAAAAATTGCTTCAGAAAATGCGCAACTAAAAATATAATTCGACGGGTGCGAGCGATTTTTCAAATAACAAACATCAGATTTTTAAATAAATACTGGGTGTAATGTAAAGGTTGGGAATAAATAAAACGGTGGATTTTTTTATTTAAAATATAAATTTTTCTCATATGAAGTTATGCTTTACGGGTTTTCTTTTCCAAGCTACAGGGCACTAAAAAGTTTTAAAAAATTTAGTTTTTCTCCAATAACTTTCGAACATTATAAGATAATGGAATGAAATTTTAGCCTTCGCTTAATTTGAAAAACAGGAAAAAGATCGATTTTGTAAGTTTCTCAGTGGTGTGCGTACGGATTGTACCGTAAGGTTTTTCGAAGAAAATTGTGGTACGCCACTGGTAAAAACTTTTTTTTAATATTTTTTATGATCCACTTTTTATTTTAAACAAAATTACCCCCTTGCGTTTTATTTCTAGCTCTTATAATTTTTCTGTAAATAAAACTTTTGTAAAAAAGATTTTTTATTTGAAAATGGTGTTTTTTAACACCAATAAATTTTTTGGAATTTTTTAGCGCCCCGTAATTTGGAAAAGAAAATCCGCAGAGCATAATTTTACGTGACAAATATTTATTTCTTAAAATAAAAATCCGTTACATTTTTTCCCAACCTTTACGTTACACCCTATATATTCCAAAATTTTTACCGCTCACGGTATATTTAATTTATAATTTTTTTTAAAAAAGCACTATGTTTAGTTCGTGAATTCCAAGGTCAATGTCCTCTCATTGTGTGAAGACAGCGAGCAAACTTCCTTCGCCCCAGATTCCAATCCAAGAAAATAGAGTTTTGACGACATACATATATTTTTAAAGGTCAAATCCCGTAAATTTTAAAAAAATTTCATTACCTGCTCCCTAACCATGGTGTGCGGACTGGTGACCTGCCTGACCAGCTCGTGGGTGACCTTGTGCAGAGCCTCGTTCTGCAGATCTTTGGTCTGCTGGTCCGACCCGTCGGGCGGCGGCGTCACGCACACTATAAGCATCTTCTGGAGGTTGTCCTTGGCCATGTCCAGGGCCCCGCTCGACACCTCCCCCGTCAGGTCCATCATGACGAAGAGCAGCGCCTTCAGGAACATGAACATGTGCTCGTACACCCACTTCAAGGCGCACCGCTCGAACATGAACTTTATGGCTATGCACCCGCCGAGTTTGGCGTACCAGGCTCTCTCGTAGCACAACGAGCACATCTTCTCCGAGAGGTACTCGATCAGCGGCAAACGGCAGGCCTAGAAATAAAACGTTAGACCGGGAATACTAAGCGAAGGCGCGTTTCTGACCATCTCGCGGCTTCCCAAGAGCGTGGAGGCAGTGTCCACGATCAAAACCAATCCTAGATGGCCAGGCTTGCACAATTCCCGCTCCTCGTGGCCCATTATGATGGCCAAGGCGTCCACCAGCACGAGCGGGTCCAAAGTTATCTGTTTGTTGGGCCTGAAACAACTGGAATCAGAAAGGGTCGAATACGGACCTGGAAAACTCACTTCGGGCTGTACGCGAATGCTCCCGATTGCTGGGCCACCGCCACCATGGTGTAGTGACGCACAAGGGATACGAGAGCGGGTACCACCGGGTCACGAAGCTCCTTGATCGCCGCCCCAACGAACATACCTTAAAAAAAAACGACTTGTATATTTTCACGCAACAACGAAATGCTTTGTATTAGTCCAAGCATTCTGTCACGGATTAATGTTAAATTTGCAGAAATTATTACCTGGACAAAAAAAATATAACCGTATGGAAAATTAAACTTTAAATCGAGTTTCTTGTTCTTTAAACTCGATCCAAAATGGNAGGTGGCCAGGCTTGCACAATTCCCGCTCCTCGTGGCCCATTATGATGGCCAAGGCGTCCACCAGCACGAGCGGGTCCAAAGTTATCTGTTTGTTGGGCCTGAAACAACTGGAATCAGAAAGGGTCGAATACGGGCCTGGAAAACTCACTTCGGGCTGTACGCGAATGCTCCCGATTGCTGGGCCACCGCCACCATGGTGTAGTGACGCACAAGGGATACGAGAGCGGGTACCACCGGGTCGCGAAGCTCCTTGATCGCCGCCCCGACGAACATACCTTAAAAAAAAACGACTTGTATATTTTCACGCAACAACGAAATGCTTTGTATTAGTCCAAGCATTCTGTCACGGATTAATGTTAAATTTGCAGAAATTATTACCTGGACAAAAAAAATATAACCGTATGGAAAATTAAACTTTAAATTGAGTTTCTTGTTCTTTAAACTCGATCCAAAATAGCGAACATGGTTAAAAAAAATCTCAAAGTTGCAACAAACGGTTTTTCTAAAGTAACTAAAAAAATATAGCACGGATTGAAAAATTTTAAATGAGAAAGTTGTAGGTTTTGAAAATATCTATCGACTGATTTTTTGTAAGTATCGATTGCTTTATTACTTTTCAAGATACATTGAAAAAACCGTTAAAAATCTTCTCTTTTCTCTTCTTCCATAACTCGTTTACATTTACGTTCCCATATTTGCTATTTACTGCAAGCATAGTCCGCGGCAAGCCAAAAAAGTACATTTTTGAAAAATTTAAAAATTTTAATTATTTTTCGAGGTATATCGATTTTTTGAAAAAAAGGCGCTCTCGAAAATTGGCTAGATCTTGTCAGCGGATAGCCCTACAGTGACGATTTTCAGTTTATTTTCTTCGTAAAGAGTTGTATTATCATGCTGTAAAAAAATGTTGACGATTTTATTAATTTTAAGGATCAAAAATTGACTGAAAAAGTTTCACTTTTTTTGGGTGTTTTTTTTCCAATAACTATTTCAATTTTTATTTTATGAAAATAACTTTTAAAGAAAGAAATTGCTGACATTTTTTCACAAATTAAAAAAAAAATGTTTTTCTACGACTTTCTGGAGCCGAGATAATTTTATAATTTAAAAAAATTTTGAAGACGCAATAAACATTTTTTACAGCAATGCGCTTGATGGAGGTTAATATTGAATATTTACATTTTAAAAAAAAAAGAGTAGGATATGTTTACTTGATTTTTAGTATTAGTAATTGAGTAATAAACTGAAGCGTGCAAAAGCTGAGTGCGTCAGTTGGACCGGACGGAGAAGTAGAGGGAAGCGGCGTGCACTCGGTCTAAAAACTGATGACATGCAGTCTAAATGGCTCGCGCTTGCAAAATCTTTGATATCTCGGCTTCTAAACCACGTACAAAATTTCTTTTGTACTTAACCTGGGGTAGCTAAACACGAATGTTATAGTCATTTTCGCATTAGAAGCAAAATAGTCCCGTAAATGTTTGGTTTTTATTTAACTTTCATTTTTTTTACTTTTATTATACTTCTTCACGAAAATATGGAAGACGAACAAGAAAATGAATCAAAAAACAATCTGACAAAGAAATGTCCATTGCGGCGGACTTGCCTACCTTTCCATCTTCCGCGTTTGTTATGACTGTGGTGGTCCCATAAAAGAAGAATTTCATTCGATAAATAATTTTAGTTTTCATTGTAATAATTTTATAGATATTTTATACATAGTTCTATAATTATTAAATATTTTTGTAAATAAATTAAATTCTTTAAACTTATTTTACACCAAAATTAATTAATTATTGAAATGATGAAGTAATTGTTAAAAAGCCAGCAACAAGTACAACGTCAGTATGATTAATGAAGCAAAAAAATTAAGGTATTACTCGAAAACTACTGTAATATTATTAATTATTAAAATGACGATAAATG